CAGAGTCTTATGGGCATATTTGGGGGGGGGGGGCTGCTCCCATCCCTCCCCTCATTTCCCTGGGAAATCAGCCAGGGCTTCTGGGGACTCAAGATGCAAATTCGGGACACCCGCCCCGCCCCTTCCCTGCCGGCCTCCCTGCCCCCCCACGGGGTCTGGAGCCGGGCGGCAGATGAGCACCTTCCCTGGGCGGTGAGGTCTGGTCTCCCGGGAGACAGAGATAAGGAGGTGCGTGTGTGCAGGGACCAGCAACCCACAGGGGCGGGCAGCTGGGCCCGAGGGGTTTGTGTCCTGGGCCGGCGGGAGCCCCACCCACACAGACAGACCCAAAGCCCCTGCTGGAGAGAAAGATGGACCTGCGAGAGGCAGAGGAGGTGGGGGGGGGGGGGGAGCGCCGTTAATTCCCACCCACTCACTGCAACCCAAAGCCACAGCCTGGCACAGGGCGGGGGAGGGGGGTAAGGCTCCCACGGCACATGTTCAGGGTCATTTGGCACAGAGCCCAGCCCACCCACCTCCTGCTGGAACACTCTCCTCCCAGGAGCCAAAGGCAAGGCCAGGTCAGGAGCAGGCAGGTGCAGGGAGCCTGGCGCCCTCCTTGTTCCACAGACACCATCAGGGGTGCTGCGGCCAGCCCTGATGTGTTGGGGGGCTGGGGGGTGGGGCCCCACACCAGCCCGCCTTTCTGCCCATTCCCACTTCCCACTCGAGGTCCCCAGTGACAGCGGTCTTCACCACGTCCTGACCTGTGTAGCCCGGAAAGGTTGAGCACGGGGAATGGGGAGCCCCCTGCCAACCTACTTTCCAATGTGAGCTCTGTTGTGCATTGTGGGGTGTGTGTGTGGGGTGGGGAGGGATGGACTTGCAGCCCCTGCCTCAGTTTTCCCCTCTGTAAAATGGCAACTGTCTTCAGATCTTTTGGGGGAGACTTACAGGCAGGGCGTGTAAAAGCCAGAGCTGGGTCCTAGCACCTGTGATTGTTGGGGTGCCTTGGTCAGAACTGGGTTTGGGGTTGGAGAGAGCCCCGTGGGCTAAGCACCTGCTTTGCCAACATGAGGGTCCGGCTCCATCCTGGCACCACCTGGTCCCCCGAGAGCCACCAGGAGTGACCCCTGCCAGGAGTTGCACTGCCAGTTGCCCTCCCCCCATCTGACTTTCCGTCATGGTTCCCCATCCATAGGAGTTGGGGCTGTATGCCGGGAGCGACGTGCACCCCACTCCCAAGAGCCGTGGGACCCCCGAGTGGCCTGGGCACCGGCTGCCCTCTGGGGCCTCAATGTTCCGCCTGACCAGAGAGGGCAGGCGGCTGCTGGGATCCTGCCCCTCCCCTCCCAGGCCCGCCTGAGTGACGGGGTGAGGAGCCCCGTCGCCATGGGGACTAAGCTCGGAGAAGGTCAGCTGGTGTCTGGGCCTGGCCGGATGGGGATTAGCAGGGGGGACCAGCCCCCACCCCATGGCCTCCCTCGGATCCCACATCCCTCCTTTCTCACCTGGGCCAGAATCCAGGTGGGCAGCCAGGAGGCATCTACTCTGGCCAAGGGACAAAGGCAGAGAAGAACCCCTCGCGTCTCAGCCCCCCCAGACCCCCCTGCGCCCTAAGCCTGTCCCTCTTCTCTAGCCCCGGTGGGAGGAGAGGGTCTGCTCAGAGAGGGATGGGGCTCCCCCCCCATGTCCCATTGGGGCCATTCACGCCCCCTATGAAACCATCACTTGCTCCTGAGGTGGGGGGGTCTGCCCCATCCCCACGTGGTCCTACCCCTCCTTCCTCTCACACCTGTGCCTTGCACCTGTCCCCCCCTAAGGTGAGCACCTCTCCCCCGTACCCCATATCCCCACGTGTCTCTGTCCCTCGTGTCCCTGCTTCTGGCTGGTCTCGCTGGCCCGTGCCCTGGAGGTGGGGTGCGACCGGGGGCCGGTATCTGCAGCCGCGCTGAGCCCCCAAATCTGGAGGTTCTCCCACCGCTCTGACTGGACCCCCGGGCTTCCCTGGCAGCTCTCCCTGCGCGCTTCCATCCTCCTCCCTCTCTGGCGCCCCCTCGCCCCCCCCCCCGCCCCCCGCTGCAGGCGCTGACAGGGGTGACAGGAAGCAGGCGCTGGCGGGGCCAGGCGGCTGCATCCCAGCTGCCGAACCCCCTCCCCCAGCCCGCACCTGCAGCCAGGCCCGGCGCCCAGACTCCGACTCCGCCCCCGCAGGCAGGGCGGGCTCAGGGAGCTGCGGGCCAGCGCCAGGAAATGCGGGTTATGGGGGTGACCCGAGGTCTGGGGAAAGGGCGCTCTGGGTGGAGGGGAAGATTCCGCCTACAGTGCGACCCTCTTTGTCCCGCCCCGTTGCTGTGCGGGTGGGGGATGCAGTCCGGGGCGGATCTGAGGTGGGGGGGGAGGGGAGTTTAGCCCCCTTCCACGATCGGGGATGGAGAAGCACCACGCCAGGCAGGGGATAGGCGGGTGACCTGCACCCCAACCTGGGCACCTTGATCCCCTCCCCCAGCCTGGTACCCCAACAATGTCCCCAGACCCTCACCTGGCATGGGACAGTATGGTCCCTCCCCTCCCCCCCTCATTTCTGGGGCCAAGGATTCAGCAGAAAGGGGAATGTGGGGGAGTTAATGAGGGGGTCCAGAGCGGAGGGCACAGCCAGCACCCCAAAACCTCCCGCTTGGAGACAGAAGGTGCCAGTGGCCTCTGACTTCCCCGGGGCTGCCTCGGCGAGGCTGGGGTGTGTGGGGGTGCAGCCCTTCCCCACGATGCTCCCTCGCCATCAGGGGAAACTGAGGGCTCCCCACTGCCGGTTCAACCAGCTTCCCCCACCCAGGGAACATCACCTTCAATTTAGGGGAGCCCCCGCGCAGGGATGAGTCAGGGACTCAGCCGCACCCCAGGCCTGGGATGGGGGTGCCCTCTGCCCTCCCCTCTCCCGGAAGATCACCATATCGGGGGTCTGCTCCATCCTGGGACTGGCTGTGGTTTATGATGTGGGCTGGGCTGCCTCGCCCCCAAGCCCCCCAACAAGCAGAGCTCTAGGTTGATGGGAATGGGGGAGTCCCAGCAGGTAGAGTGGCAGAACCATGTGTTTGTCCTTTTCATTCTGCCCGAGACATATGCCCTGCAAAAGCGGGCAGAGAAATGGCACCGAGTGACCCCCAGGATTCAGCCCAGAGACAGCTGGCCTCCACCTCAGGCTTGGGGGTTCTCAGCTGTGTCCCCCCCTCTTTTTTTCCATACCTCTCAGCCATGGCCCTCCCCTTGCAGGGCTCCATCTTTCTGGCTCAGGGGCACCCCGACAGATTGCCGGGAGTCCAGAAATCAGGCGCCGGGCTTATACAGAGAGAGCCCAGAGGTGGAGGGCCTGCTCAGGTCGCCCCCTTCCCGGTGGAAAACGCCTGAGCTCCAAGCGGGGCGCTGCGGGGGGGAGGGGGGAAATGACTTGCCCAAGGCCACAGAAGTTTCAGGGACAGAGTCGCGGGAGGGGCGCCCTGCCGGGACTGGCTCGGGCGGGCGGGCCGAGCCGGGAGCCGGATCTCCCGGGGCGCGGCGGTGGCGGTGGCGGCGGCGGCGGTGGCGGCGGGTGCCTGCGTGGCGGTCGGCCGAGCTCCGGGGCTGACAGGCCGCCCCTGCCTCACGCGAGCCGAACGAACAAAACGCTCAGGTCCGGTTTGTGCGAGGGGCTCGTCGCGGGGCGGGAGCGGAGGCCCGGGGCCCGGGACCCTCGACGGCGTCCATCTCCTCCTGGTCCAGGTCTTCTTGGGCGCGCGCCCCGCTCGCCACCGGCCTCACCTGCGCGCACCAGCGGCTGACACGTCGGCGGCCGCGGCAGGTGCGCACCGGGCCCGCCCCCCCTTCCCCAACCCCCGCCTGGCCCGGGCCCCCCTCGGCCGGGTGCCGCCCTGCCCTGCCCTGCCCGCCCGCCTGCCCGGGTGGGGTCCCCCCAACCCACGCCCCGGCGCTTGTGCGGGAGCCGGGGGTCCGCGCGTTCTTATACGGCCGGGGAGTCCCCGCCCCTGGGCGCGCGACACCCGCCCCCCCCAGCACACACCTGGCCCGCGCCCGTTTGCTCGGGGCAAATATTGACTCAGAGGAGGAGGAGCGCCCCCACCCCCGGCCCGCCCCCGCCCCGCGGCGGGGGTGGGGAGGCGGGGAGGGGTGTCGGGGACCCGGGCGCCTCTGGAACAACACCAGATGTCACTTTTCCACCCACCTGCTGGGGGAGGGGGGGGGCACGGAGGAGGCGTCCTGGACGGAGGCAGCCAGGCACGCGGGCTTGGGGAGGGGGGTGTGGGGAGGGATCCGGGAAGGCGGGACCCCGCTCCCCCTCCCCCTCCCCGCGGTAGGGTCGGGTCTGTGACCCGCTGTCTAGCGGTGGCCTCTGCCCTCGGGGCCAGTCTCTTAGTTCTCGTCCCCACAACCCCCCCTCCCCGGCGCGTGTCGGGGCTTCCCGTGTCCTTTCCACCCGGAGCGGAGATCTCGGGAGCCAGGCTGGAGCTGGGATACGGGGTATGGGTGCAGGGAGCCCTACGGGGAGCGGGGGGAGGTTGCGGGGGTGGGGGGAGGTGGCCGCTGCGCCCTGGGCCACCTGCCGCCGCCGGGACGAGCTGGCGCTGCGCGCTCCGGTGCGTGCCAGGCTGGGGAGCTGGAGCGGCGCCTCTCTGGCGCCCTCTGCCGACCAGAGCCGGCCCTGCGCGCCAGGTGGGGCCTGTGTGTCCCCGGGCCGAGCGGCGGCGAAGGCCAGCGAGCGTCTCCCCGGCGCCCTCTCCCGGCCAGCGCCGGTCCTGCGCCCGCTGCAGCAAAGACGAGGCAGCTACCTCCCTCGCAGCCTCGTCCAGGCGACCCATCGGGTTGCCGGTGGGTCCCATCACCTGTCCCTCTCGCGGAGAGGGGAAATAAAGTCAAGGCAAAACGGAAAGAAGAAAGGACTAAATGTTTTACTAGCGGGGCGCTGCGAGGAACCTCAGGCACTTCAGTCTCAAACGAGGGGCTGGGCAGTGGGGGCCGCGCGCGTGCGTTTATTGTAGGTGCAGGGACGAGCAAGGTGTTTCTTGCTGCACCGTGCGCAGCAGCTGCAGGTCGGGACTTCGAAGCCTGGGAGACAGAAAGCTCCAGGTAGGGGTGGGGGCGCGGCTTCCCCGCCGCTGTCCACCCCCTGGGCATCCCTAGCCCCTCCTCCACCCCCAGTGGTGCGGGTACCCCACCTGGGCGCGTTGAGCGGAGGCAGAGCGATGACCCGAGGCCGCGAGGTGAGCACCACCTCCCCGAGGCTCGCCTCCACCAGGACGTTCCTGATCATGTTCTCCATCAGCTCTTCCTGCAGGTTGGCGAAGGCCGGAAGCCTGCGGGGCGGGGGTGGGGGTGGGCGAGGGAAGATGATTGAGGGGTGGGTAGTGGGGGGGAATGCCTAGTCAGCGCTCTGCTGGAGGTGATCTTGTCCCTCTGGCTCCAGCTGAATGTGGCCCCCAAATCAAAGTAAAATAAAATAAATGAATAAGGGCTGCAGAGATAGCTCAAGAGGTGGGAGGACGGATTTTGCAGGTTGGGGGTTGATTTTGGTTTTTAAATTTGTTTATTTGGGGGGCCACACCAAGAGCTGCTCAGGGCTGACTCCTGGCTCTGCACTCAGGAATCACTCTTGACTGTGCTTAGGGAACCCTAGGGGATGCCAGACATTGAACTCGGGGAACATGCACCAAGCACTCTAACCACTGTACTATCTTTTCGGCCCCTGGAGGTTGGGATTTGATCACCCGCAGTAAGCACCTCGGGGAGTGGCTCCTGAGCACTGCGCCAGGAGGAGCCCCTGGACATTGCTGCAGGAGACTCCTAAGACAAAGTTATAGCAAAATAAAGCAAAAATTAAAAAAAAATAGGGCCCTCCCGTTGATCATCGATTTGCTCAAGCGGGCCCAGTAACGTCTCCATTGGAGACTTTGTTGTTACTGTGTCTGGCATATCGAATACTCTTCGGTAGCTTGCCGGGCTCTCCGAGAGGGGGAAACTCGGCAAACTCCCTTGGTGAATAATGCAGAGGGGGGGGGACCTTAGGTTTCCCAGGTGAGTGGAAGGAAGCTGAGCTGCTGGGTGGCTATGGGAGACCGCCCCCCCCTCTGGTGGGTGCTCACCGTCTGATGACCTCCTTCTCCCGCAGTTCCTTCTCCTCCTTCAAGGCCACCTGCAGTTCCTTGTGCTGCCGCTCCCACTTGAGGGACCGATGGAACTCAGGGCCCAGCGCGGGCTGCGTCTCGGGCCATGCCGGCTTCTCTTCCTTCTCCCCCAGGCCGTCCTCCTCCCCCGCCTCCTCCCTCTCCTCCTCCTCCTCCTCCTCTTCCTCCTCCTCCAGGATCTCCTCTTCCTCTCTGGCCCTCTCCTCTTCCCCCGCCTCCTTCTTCTCCAGGCTCTGGTCTCCCCTGTCCTGCCCGCCGCTGCCACCGCCACCACTGAAGTTGCTGGCACGGTGAACCCGGCAGAGGTGCCGGCTACTGCTTGTCTGAATCCTGAACCTGATCAGATCCTCATCCCAGAACTGGGAGAAGTAGGGGACCTGCTCCTCCAGGCCTCGGTCTATGGCGTCGTGGAAGGTCTTGTCTTCCAACAGGCCTCTGGGGGCGGGGGGAGGGGGGAGAGGCAGAGACTCAACCCAAGACGCCGACTGCTCTAGGGAACTCTGGTTTCAGGGTTCCCCCAGGAGCACCCCCACCTAACATGCCCACACACAGGAGCTAGGTGCAGAGGGGAGCCCTGTTGTTCTTTTTACTCTTTTTTTGCTTTTGGGGTCACACCCAGTGATGCTCAGGGGTTCCTCCTGGCTCTGCATTCAGGAATTACTCCTGCTGGTGCTTGGAGGACTGTATGGGATGCTGGGAATCGAACCCAGGTCAGCTGCATGCAAGGCAAATGTCCTACCCGCTGTACTATCACTCTGGCCCCTAGCCCTGTGTTCTTGCACTTCCCCACCATGCTTTATTATTATTATCATTATTATTATTATTATTGCTTTTTATTTATTTAGCACAGCGCGTAGGGCATTTGCCTTGTACGCGGCTGACCCGGGTTGGATTCCCAGTATCCCATATGGTTCCCTGAGCACCGCCAGGAGTAATTCCTGAGTGCAGAGCCAGGAGTGACCCCTGTGTATCACCAAAAGAAAAAAAAAGAAAAGAAAGACCCAAAAGAAAAAAAAAGAAAGGAGGGGCAGTGGGAGACTCGGGAGGGGGACCCTCTGGGCAGACGGAGTGGGGTGGCCTCACCTGATGATGGTGCAGAGACAGTCAGTGAGGAGCTGCTTCTCCTGCATGCTGACGGAGAGCCCCAGGTCAGGGGGGTCCTTCCTGGAAGCTGCTGCCTCTTCCTGGGGGGGCTTCTTCTTGGGCAGTTCCCTGGGGGCAGGGCCATGGCACTGAGTGACCTGGCCAAACCACCCCCAGACTTTGCCCCCATCAGCTCAGGTCCTATGAGAGCTCCAGGAGAGACAGCAAGGGGGCGGGGGAGAGGGGCTGGAGCCATAGCACAGCAGGGAGGGCCGTCCCGGGTTCGATTCCCAGCATCCCATATGGTCCCCTGAGCACCGCCAGGTGTAATTCCTGAGTGCAGAGCCAGGAGTAACCCCTGAGCATCACCGGGTTGACCCCTAAAACAGCAAAAAAAGGGGGGGGGAAGAGGCCTGGCAGGTCCCTAGGGGCTCTCTGAATCCTTGTCCTAACTTCTAAGGCTCTCCGTCACCAGGGGGGGACAGCCTGGGCTCCATAATCCCCCACCATTTAACCCCCACTGCACTGCCCCAGCGTGAGACCCTCCTCCCAGCAGGATGGGGTCTGGGCAGCCCACCCCCCCCCCCCCCCCCCGTTCTGGACGGGGCTTCACCAGTGCAGGAAGAAGCAGGGAAAGCTGGAGAAGTTGTCCAGGAAGGAGTCGACGGTGTGGGCCCGTGCGGTGAGGCCCAGGTAGAGCAGGCTGGGCTGGGGCGCCTGCGGGCACGGCCACGTCGGCTTCTCCTGGGGGATCTGCAGGTTCCAGCAGGCCGGCAGGCTGGGTGACAGCTGGTGCTTGATCGGGGGCAGTGTCTTCCAGGAGGAGAAACCGTGGGGTCGCGGAGGGACCTCTAGCCCCCCCACCCCCACCCCAGGTGACAGAGAGATGTGACCCTCCCTGGTGGCTCCTGGTGGGCAGGGAGGAGATGCCAAGGCCGAATCTTGCCTTACCTTGTACTTCCTCACGGCCTCTGTGACGGCACAGCAGGTCCTTCTCTGGGGAGCCAAAGAGACGTCCACTCAGGAGGCCCTGGGATGCCTCCCTCCTCCCTGTCCCGCTGGCCCCCAAGAGGACCAGACATTCAGACTGAGACCTACTGTCCCCTTGGTCCTGCTCACCCCTTTTGCAGAACCTTTCCTCTTGGTCCTGCCCACCCACTTCTAGAACCTTCCTTTTTTTTTTCTTTTTGGTTCATACCCGCAATGCACAGGAGTTACTCCTGGCTCTGCATTCAGGTGGCAGTGTTCGGGGGACCATATGGGATGCTGGGAATCAAATCCGAGTCACTGCATGCAAGGCAAACGCCCTACCCGCTGTGCTATCGCTCCAGCCCTAGAACCTTCCTTAAGGAAGTATCTGGCTGTGGACTAGGAAGTGCTGGCGAGTCCAATGAAGGGACCAGGAGGAGATGGCCTCAAACGTGTGGTATCTCTCTCCCTCAGAAGACACGTCCCTGTGCCCTGGGATTTTGTGACAAGTCCCTTAGCCTGTGTCCTCAAGATGTGCTTTGTGGGACCAGAGCGATAGCACAGCAAGTAGGGTGTTTGCCTTGCACACGGCTGACCTGGGTTTGATCCTTGGCATCCCATATGGTCCCCCGAACACTGCCAGGAGTAATTCCTGAGTGCAGAGCTGGGAGTAACCCCTGAGCATCGCTGGGTGTGACTCAAAAAGAAAAAAAAAAGATGTGATGTTTGTTGGTTGGTTTGGTTGGTTGGTTTGATTTTTGTTGGGGGCGGGGGGGCAGGGGTTCACCTGGTGGTGCTCAGGGCTTACTCCTGCCTCTGCACCCAGGGATCAATCCTGGCAGTGCTCAGGGGACCCTCCCTATGGAGTGCTGGGGCTGTGTACAAGGCAAGTGCCTTCCATGCTGTACTGTCTCTCAGGCCCAAGAATGATTTGTAGTCCCATAGTGCCAGAGTTTCAGAGGGATGTGGGGACCTTCTAAGGATCAGGGTGTGGGGTGCAGATAATGTTGGAGCAAGAAAAGCTGGAGGGTGGCGTATGGCAGGGGAGGGGCGCGGATGGGTTCCATTTCATGTCCCCCTGGGCTGGAGCGATAGCACAGCGGGTGGGGCATTTGCCTTGCACGCAGCCAACATGGCTGACCCGAGTTCGATTCCTCCGCCCCTCTCGGAGAGCCCAGCAAGCTATCGAGAGTATCTCGCCCGCACGGCAGAGCCTGGCAAGCCACCCGTGACATATTCGATATGCCAAACACAGTAACAACAAAGTCTCCAATGGAGACGTTACTGGGCCCGCTCGAGCAATCAATGAACAACGGGAGGACAGTGACAGTGACTGTGTCTCCCCGGCAAACACTAACAGCCCCTGTTCACTGCTGGCCTCCTCGGTGCTGGACCTGAGCCAGGGCCTCTGTGCAGGACCCATCCGGCCTCCTCACACCGTCTCACCTGCACAGTGAAATGGTGCAACTGTTTCCAGCCGTGGGGCCAGAGAGCTAGCCCACTGGGGAGAGCGTTTGCCTTGCGGCCAAGCCAGGGATTCAATCCCTGGTATCCCATATGGTCCCTTGAGCTCCAGGAAGAGGAATTCCCGAGTGCAGAGCCGGAAAGAAGCCCTGAGTGTCTCTGGGTGTGGCCCCTCAAACAAACCAATCAACCCAAAAGGCTAAAAGATCAAAGTGGAAACGGAGGGACCAAGAACAGGGCAAGGACCTTAGCGGGCCATTGCCACAGCGAGACTCCAGGAAGGCTGCCCATTCCTGGACCTGGACCCAAACCCTCACCGCAGCTCTCCCTGCAGTCCTCCCGCAGATGGTGTCTGGTTCCTGGGCCTCAACTCTCACCAAACACCGGCCCAGGGCCTGGGAATGGCTCCAAGGGCTGGAACAGGAGCTCTGCCCACGCCCTGTGTGGTCCCCTGACACCAGAACACAACTAAGCCTGGAGTAGCCCCTGAGTACCACTAGGTGAGGCCCAAAAAATAAAGAAAAAAAAACCCCAAAACACTGGGTAGGCCTTCATTATCTCTGACCTAGCACCTAGTAGGTCTATGAAACACAGACCCAGCACCTAGTAGGTCTATGAAACACTGGCCCACCACCTAGTAGGCTCATTAACACTGGCTAGGGATGTGGGCATCTCGGCAAGCCTCCTTTACCCACGTTATCTCAGGCAAATGCTAGACTGAAATCTGGTGTCTGGCAGCTGCCTGGGAGGTAAGGAGGACCACCGGGTCCTCTGTTCTGCCCTCCGGGAAAGTCAATCCTGAGGCCCCGTCCCACTCACCTTCACCGTCCTGTCTGTGATGATGAATTCCTCCTCCTGCCGCTGCTTCTGGGCACTCCACGCCCGCAGGTCCCTGTGGAACTGCTGGAGTTTCTCCTGCTGGTAGACCTGCGACCGGGAGCAGCAAGGAGGCAGTGTGCCATGCCCGTGACTAAGGATCTCCTAAGAGCCCCACCACCACTACCACCCTACCCCGGGCTGGGCTCTGGGCTCCGGGCTCCTGGCCCCAGGACAGGTTCTACCTTGCACACCAGCTCTGTGCTGTAGAAGCTGCTGTGTGTGGTGGTCTTCAGGGTCACCACGAAGGGCATCGTCTCCCCGGGGGCCAGCTTCCCGCTCATGGGAGTCACAGACAACTGTGGGGTTGGGGGGAGGGGTCTCTGGAGTGCTACGGGATTGGCATGTGGTGGAGGGTCAGAGTGGGATGGACTCAGGATCCGAGAGAGAGTCCAGGGGTTAAGAGGCTTGTCTTGCAGTCAGTGGACCTGGATTCAACCCCAAATACCACACATGGAGGTCCACCACCACCACCAGGAGTGATCCCTGAGCACAGAGCCAGGAGGAAGCCCTGAGCATCACTAGGTGTGACCCACAAGAAAAAAAAACACACATGCACACACACACACACAAAACCCGAAAAAGGAGCTGGAGCAATAGTACAGCAGGTAAGATGTTTGCCTTGCTGACCTGGGTTCAATCCCCGGCATCCCATATGGTCCCCCAAGCACCACCAGGAGTAATTCCTGAGTCCATAGGCAGGAGTAACCTCTGAGCATCACTGGGTGTGACCCAAAAACAACAAAACAACAACAACAACAATAAAAGCAGATTGGGACTAGCGATAATAGTATAGTGGGGAAGGTGCTTGCCTTGCATGCGGCTGACCCGTGTTTGATCCCTGACACCCCACTGGGTCCACCCCGAGCCCTGCCAGGAGTGATCCCTGAGTGCAGAGCCTGGAGTAAGCCCTGTGGCCCCTCCAAACAAACAAACAACCAAAAAAGGGGGGGATAGACTGGGCTGGAGGGGGAATGGTGTGGGGTGAGATGTGGCAGGGCAGGGTGGGATAGTGTCTGATGAGATGGGATAAGACCAGCCAGGACCGGATGGACTGGGGTTGGTATGAGAGGGGATGGAATGGGAGCAGAAGGTACAAGAAGGGCTGGGGAGGGGGGGGCGAGACGAACGGGACAAGGCGGGACCGAAGGGGCCAGTGGGGTGGGGGAGGCGGGCAAGAGTCCTGGTGGAGCTTCCGATTGGGTGATCGGGGACGCGAACCTCCCCGAAGTCCAGCGACCGCAGCATCCAGACGAAGACGATGGTCTCCTTCTTGGAGATGTTGTTGAGGAACAGCAGGCGGCTGCACTTGCTCTGCACGGGGATGTTTCCCAGGGAGATGTGGGACTGGGACAGGAAGACGTTCTGGAGAGACGACACAGCAGCACAGCTTGGCCAGGGAGGCCACGGCAGCCTCCACTTCTGGGCAGCCTCCATGCAGTGGCCCTGCGATGTAGATCTGCCCTGGTCCCTACTACATGTGTGCTGCTTTTTTTTTTTTTGGCTTTTTGGGTCACACCCAGTGATGCACAGGGGTTACTCCTGGTTCATGCACTCAGGAATTACTCCTGGCCATGCTTGGGGGATCATATGGGATGCTGGGAATCGAACCTGGGTCAGGCCGCGTGCAAGGCAAACGCCCTACCCACTGTGCTATCACTCCAGCCCCTACATGTGTGCTGCTTAACGAGCCTGGATCAGTGTTTCAAAATTTCTCCCAGACCTGGCTGAATAAACTCACCCTCTCTAATTTTTTTTTTTTCTTTTTCGGTCACATCAGGCAATGCTCAGGGGTTACTCCTGGCTCTGCACTCAGGAATTACTCCTGGTGGTGCTCGGGGGAATTGAATCTGCATCGGCTGCATGCAAGGCAAATGCTCTACCCATTGTACTATCGCTCTAGCCCAAATTCTATAATTTTTGACCGTCAAAATGAGCTTAGGGCTGGAGCGATAGTACAGTGGTAGGGCGTTTGCCTTGCGCACAGCCAGCCTGGCCGAGCCGGGTTCGATTCCTCCGCCCCTCTCAGAGAGCCTGGCAAGCTACTGAGAGTATCTCGCCCGCACGGCAAAGCCTGGCAAGCTACCCGTGACGTATTCGATATGCGAAACACAGTAACAATTGTCATAATGGAAATGTTACTGGGCCCGCTTGAGCAAATTGATGAACAACGGGAGGACAGTGACAGTGGCAGTGACAAAATGAGCTTGACAGATGCTACCAGTTATTCCAGGCTGTTCTAAGTTAGAAATCTGAATAGCCACGCTGAATACTGTCAAAATGCACTTTGCTCAATAATACTGAAGCTGTTGGAACCTTTGATTACCCATTGGTTGTTACAGAAAAAAATAGGTAACTGATGGTTGTTGCCATGATAGTATACTGCCCATATTTCTACCTCTAGGAATGGGATTTATGTACTATATTTTTAATATCCTTGATCCTGGGCAACCGCACAAGTCTTTTTAAAAGAAACATGGTTTACTTGCACAAAACTGATCAGTTTTGAGAGATCATTAATGCCCTTGAAGTGGTTTTTGTGGGTGTGAAACAGATGGAAAGGACTTGAATGGGTCCCCCTGAATGATCGGTTTGAGGCTCTTCGTGTTGCTAGAATGAGCAGATGCCATTGGGCTACACTAGCACGAGTGACAGGGACGAATGGAGACATTACTGGCGCCTGCTCGAGCAAATCGATGAGTCAATTGATGTCAAGTGATCAAGTGATGTCAAGGGATGTCAAGTGATCAAGTGACCCCTGATTATAGTATTGAAATTAAGTACTTAATTTATCAAGTCATGTACATGCTCTGATTTCGTATGCTTGTATCTATCAATAAATATTGTGATACTTGGTGTAAAAATAAATAAACAAAATGAGCTTAGAAGAACGAAGAAACTGGAATTCTCTTAGAGAAGACAGAATGAGAGAAAATTAAAAGCAGAAGAATCTGATCAGCCGAAGGACAGTTGTAAATTCATAGCTGATCAGCTGTTGGCATCTTCCCTGGGCACAAAGAAGAGCTGTGTTCAGGGTGTTTGGAATGCCCAAGGCCACACAGGTGTGCGCTCTTTCAGACCAGGTCCTGAGTACTTCTAGGGCTGCGGTTTGTGTATATGTGTGTGTGTGTGTGTGTGTGTGTGTGTGTGTGTGGTGTGTTCCAGGATCTCCTGGAGACAGTGCTCATCTGGAAGTAAGATGAGAGCATGAATAGAAGGCTGGACAGCTGGAGAGTGAGTGGATGGATACATGATAAAGGATGATGAAGGGGGAGGATAAAGAGGTGGATGGTGGATGGATGAAGATGGGTGAATGGAAGGGTGATGGACAGATGAGTGGATAGAGGACAAATGATGGCTAGATGGAAGCTATCTGGATGGATGGATGGATGAATGAGGATGTGTGGTGGGTGGATGTGTGCATGGATGACGAATGATGAATGGATAATACATGATGGTTGGATGATGAGTGACGGGTGGATGGGTGACGGTTAGGTGAAGGATAGATGGGTGAATGATGAGTAATGGACTGATGATGGGTGATGATGGATCAATGGAGGAGGATGGAGGGATAGATGAGTGAATGATAAATGATTGATGGATTGATGCGTGGATGAGGATGGATAGATGGACGGACACGTGGATGATACAAAGAGCACTGGGTCAGTGAGTAAGAGGATGGATGCATGTGTGGGGAGGTGGGTGAACAGGGTGGCTGGACGGATGGGCTAGACAGCCCAGCAATGCGGATGGAGCACAAAGATTACAGTAGAGTCGCCAGGGGAAGGACTGGTCTGCACGGAGATCAGACCTCATAGCCCGAAAATGGGGGAGCTCCTTCCAGCCTTCTAGCACCCTGCCCTGCTGCCAAAGACCAGGCCAGGGGCGGGACTTTGCTTGAGCAGAGCCCCTGAGGGCATAAGAGGGCAGGATAAGCATCAGGGGGAGAGGGGTTCTGCCTTCTAAGTCTGAGGGCGTCTGTTCTGGGTTGAGGCTTCCCCTCTGTCTCCCTCCCTCCCTCCCTTCTCCTCTCCACGGGGCTCTTGCCCCCCCCGCCCCCCCCCCCCCCCGCACACTGGCCACCCTGGAAACCTCAGTCTCTCCCCCTGACCTGCCCAGGAACCATCATCCTCGAGTACACGCAGCTGTTGTCCCATGATGTGATGTTGTGGAACGGGGCTGTCTCGCCCATAATGTGGGCGTCATAGCCCACCCCGTAGAAGGTGATGATGGCTGAGTTCCAGCCCAGGATGTGGATGGGCACGTTCACCTGGGAAGTCGGGGCAGGGAAGGGAACGGTCAGAGCAAGGCCAGCCACGGCCCCGCGTGCCCCAGGCTCCCAGGCCGACACACACCTGGTAGGTCTTGGCCTCGATGGGTGAGAAGATCCAGAGGATGCGGGCGGTGGTGCCTGGTTTGATCTCCCCTTTGGGGTTGAGGCAGGTGAAGATGGGGTGTCCGAAATTTTTTTCCTGCACCCATGACAGGATGTCGGTCTGGATCTCATATGTCACCGGCACGGAGCCACCATTGTACAACTCGTAAATCTGCAAGGACCAGCAGGGGGCACTTCTACAGCGGCACAGAGCAGAGAGCTAGCAGCGCTGGGGCCACTGTGTGCTCCAGGATGTCCCTCTTACTGCCCCAGGCCTCCCCTAAAGGCCTCCAGTTTCCCTTGTGACCCCATTCTCCAAGACGTATGCAACTGCGTCTGTGGCCTGTAGCACTGTCCTCCCGTTATTCATCGATTTGCTCCAGCGGGCACCAGTAATATCTCCATCGCGAGATTTGTTGTTACTGTCTTTGGTATATCGAATACGCCACGGGGAGCTTGCCAGGCTCTGCTGTGTAGCAGAATACGCTCGGAAGCTTGCCGGGCTCTCTGAGAGGGACGAAGGAATCAAACCCAGGTCGGTCACGTGCAAAGCAAATGCCCTACCTGCTATGCTATCGCTCCACTCATATATATATATTATATTTATATATAATATATTTATATATACATATATAAATTGTTTTGGGTTTGGGGGTCACACCCTGCCGCATTCAGAACTTACCCTGGCTCTGAGCTCATGAATCACTCCTGGTGGTGCTCAGGGGGCCATATGGGGTGCTGGGGATTGAGCCACGGTTGGCTGCATGCTAGGCATATACTATACTATATATATATATACATACATATATATATATATATATATATATATATACTATTGCCTGGCCTGGAATCATTACTTTTCATTTTTATTTTTTATTTTTTTTTCTTTATGGGTCACACCCGACAATGCACAGGGGTTACTCCTGGCTCCTGGCAGTGCTCAGGGGAATGTATGGGATGCTGGGAATCGAACCCGGGTCTGCCGCATGCAAGGCAAATGGCCTACCCGCTGTGCTATTGCTCCAGCCCCCAAACATTACTTTTTTATTTGCTCTCAAGTCACTTTTTTCAAGTTGTGACGGACCATTAAGGCTTAGCATCTCTAGTGTTAGAATTGAGGGGGGCTGTCCCTATCCAGACCTGCATTTTCTAGGCTCTACTTTTCACAGTGAAGTCACACTTCCCATATCTGCCAGTAGAGGCAGCGTGGCTTAAAGACAGCGGTGGGGGTGAGTGGTGGGAGTGGTGGGGGGAGGGGTGGTGGTGAAGGGGTGAGAGAAGGGAGGTGTGAGGGTTTTCCAAAATGTATCCCTAGAGGTTGGGAACCACAGAATGTCCTGGAAGAAGCCAGTGAGTTTGTTCTTTTTCTTTCTTTCTTTCTTTCTTTCTTTCTTTCTTTTTTTTTGCTTTTTGGGTCACACTCAGTGATGCTCAGGGCTTACTTCTGACTCTGCACTGAGGAATTACTCCTGGCAGTGCTCAGGGGACCATATGGGATGCTGGGAATCGAACCCTGAGTCAGTCACGGGCAAGGCAAATGCCCTACCCGCTGTGCTATTGCTCCAGCCCCCCAGTGAGTTTCTGGTCCAAGCCTTCATCAAAGAGATGAGAAAGCAAAAATGAGAGAGAACTAGAGTTCCTCCAGGAAGCACACCTCCCCCAACACACACACACACACACACACACACACACACACACACACACACACACACAGAGTTCTCAGCACCCCCTCCAAAGCTGGCATCCAACCTCTGCCTGGCAACCACCCTCAGTTGTCTCAGGGGAATCCCCAACCTTTTTCAAACCAAACTCTTCATCCTGACACCTGTCCCTCCTACCCCTGGCTTCACCTCCTTTCCTCTTCCCCTACTCCCAAGAGTCCAAACTGGGCTTCCCAACAATTTTCCTCGGTCCCCTTCTCCCCTTTCCCAGATCTCCATGACTGCCGAGAGCCTGAGGAATCTGTCTGCTTCTCTCTGCTTCTCTGACTGCACTGCCCCCCTGCAGACCCGGCCACTGCCAGTGAGTGACAGTGAAAATGTGGCCTCCCTGTAGGAGCCCTCGGTGTCCTGGCTCTGGGTGCGGGTTCTCACGCCCAGGAGCTCTGAGTGTCTGGAAGTTCTCCAGGGGCGGGGGAGTGGGGGAGGTGGGGAGTGGAGGAGGAGGCATGGGGTTCTGACTTTCTTTTTCCCGAGCCCAGGCTTCTACAGGCTTTGGGGTGCCACCCCCCAATCACAGGGGGCTTCTGGCTATAGGGGGCGTAGGGAAGTGGATGGAGCCCGAAGCTATCGGGTCCTGTCTCAGGTCCTTGAAGATCCAAATCCCTGCCTAGAAACACGGGAGACTTGTCGGGCTGCAAATACCAGACCTGTGGCCAGTTTGGGGAACGGCCCCCCCCTCCGGGAGATGTCCCATGTCCCTTTTTCGGCTAAGGGACAAATTCCTTCTGTTGTATCACGACTGTGGGCTGCCGGGAATGGGACCCAGGCTCTGCCCATTAAGTTCTGTTCCTGCCCAGGGAACAGAAAACAGTTTCTCCCAGGGCAGCATTTCCTACCGGGACTGGGACCGCTCAGGAGCACGGGCAAGGGGCCCACAGAGAGAAAACAGAACGTTTGCCTAGGCAGTGCCAGGTGGAGCTTAAGGTTTGACTTCGTGTGTGGGCTGGAGCAATAGCACAGAGGGTAGGGCTTTTGCCTTGCACGTGGCCAACTCGGATTCGATTCCTCCGTCCCTCTCGGAGACCCCGGCAAGCGACCGAGAGTATCCCGCCCGCACAGCAGAGCCTGGCAACCTCCCCGTGGCGTATTTGACATGCCAAAAACAGTAACAACAAGTCTCACAATGGAGACATTACTGGTGCTCGCTCGAGCAAATTGATGAACAACAGGCGGACAGTGCTACAGTGATACTGTGTGTGTGTGTGTGCGCGCGCGCATGTGTGCTGGGCTGTTACCATAAATCCATAAATGGCCCAATGGCCCATAGAGTTGGGAGACCAGGGACCAGCAGGGAAACCAGTTCTGCAGAGGGCAGAGCTCTGAGCACTGGACACCCAGAGCCTCTTCCAGGGGTCTCTCCAAGCCGCCCCATCTTGAGATTACACCTGCAGCCACACCCTTCGGAGTGAGGCATGCCCAGTGGTCAACCCTGTTCAGGGCAGACGCAGGCGCAGACGCACTGAGAACCAACCCGTCAGGGCTGGATTCCCTGACCTGGCGCGGGGGCATTTTCTTGCCGATGGGGACAGGGACGAATTGGTGACTGGTGGTGGGGAAGTGCACGTATGGCTGTTCCGGCTTCACTGTCACGCCGATGAAGTTAAGCTGCAGAGAGAAAGCCCAGGACTCACGTCCTGCCAGGGAATGACGAGTTCATACACCCAGCCCAGGTGGGACCTCAGTTCCCGGAAACGGCAGCAGGGGTGAGGGTGGGGGTGGGGTCCCATTCCCGGTCCTATCCGGTTCATTCAGGGGACTGGGGCGTTCTCACCAGGACCTCCCGGCCATGAGACACCTTGAGGAGCACGGGGAGACGGTCAGTGCCAACGAACAGGTGGCTGGAAGTGGGGAGACAATCCGAGGGTGAGTGACAGGTAGTAGTAGAAGTGAGGGAACCAGTTCAGCTGTGGCTTTTGGCCTCATGCCCGGGAACACCCAGACGCTCTTGAGTGGGGACGGAGCAAGTGGGCAATGGAGCACCCCTCCGGGTGGGAGGGTGAGGGGGTCTTTGCCAGGTGCTGACCACTTCGGGTACCCGGGAATGCAAGGTGGGCTCCTCCGGGGACCCAGGGCAAAACAGGGGGTTCTTCAGGACCCAAAGTACAGGCAGGACAGGCAGAGGGCACCGGTATTTTTTTTATTTTTATTTTTTTGCTTTTTGGGTCACACCTGGCGATGCACAGGGGTTACTCCTGGCTCTGCACTCAGGAATGACTCCTGGCGGTGCTCAGGGGACCATATGGGATGCTGGGAATTGAACCCAGGTCGGCTGCGTGCAAGGCAAATGCCCTACCTGCTGTGCTATCTCTCCAGCCCCAGGCACCTGTATTTTAACTCCACCAGCTGCTCCTGCCCGGGGCCCAGTGTGCCGGCCTTGGGGATGATGGAGAACAGGCGGTTGTCCTGCACCCGCATCTGGTGCAGCTCGGTGCTGCTGAACTCGCCCTGCTCCGCCCACACCTCCAAGTCGATCTGCTGGTCGCTGGGGAAGAGGAAGGCCCTGGAGAAGGGGTGGGGGGGACAGACACCAGAGGCATGGAGACAGCAGTCATGGCTGAGCCAGAGACGCTGGTGCAAGCTGCTACACCCCAGCCACTATGCTTCTCTCCACAAAGCACTGCCTCTTCCCTGAGGAGTTTGGTGGTGGCTTTCTCCAGGAAGCCCTCCTGGAAGCCCACCTCCATAGCTGTCCCAGGAGAGTGGGGCTGACTGGGGCTATATTTTATTATTTATTTATTTTATCTAGGCAGGCAAGGCTTAGCCAGTGACTCTGAGCCAAGCAGAATTTCTTTTTTTTAAATTTTAATTTAATTTTTTTTATTTTTTTATTTTTTCAAGCAGACTTTCTGACCTCTGCAAAGCCCTGTACCTCCCTGGGCTGGAGAAAGGCTCAGGGCTAGGGGGAAGAGCTCCTGGAAATTGGGGGACAGGGCCTCGGGGGACAGTGGTATGAGGGCTGAGAAGGGCAGAAGATTTGCAGGGCAGCGTGGAGGGTTGAGGGAACTGGGGCTTGGACTCCTATCTCCACCCTGTCCCCCGCTCCGGGTTCTTGCTCTCGCTTGCTGGCCAAGCTCACAGACCTCATTTCTTTCTTTTTCTTTCTTTTTGGGAGGGGGAGTGAGGGGAGTTTTGAGGCCATACCCAGCTGTGTTCAGGGCTGACTCCTGTCTCTGTGCTCAGGGATCCCTCTTGGCCAGGCCCCGGGAGAGCAGATGCAGTACTGGGATTTGAACCAGGGCCGGCCGTGTGCAAGGCGAGCGCCTCCCCGCTAGGCTGTCCCTCCAGCCCTCACACTCCCCAAGTCTAACCCGCCTGGGTTGGAATCTTCAGTGTGTTCTGGAGGGGAGCGGCAGAAACAGGCTAAAGCCTTCAAATGCAGCCTTCCAAGAAACTGAAAGGAAGCTAAGGCCTGGGTGGCGGAGGAAGGGAAAGGGTAGGGGGGAGGGGGGGGAAAGTCCCAGCAGGCCAAGTCACCCCAGGGGGAGTCCTGGGCTTGGGGATGGTGCAGGAAGCTTGGGAAGACTGCAGATGTCCTTCAGATGTCCCCTGAGAGATGGGCGCCCCTCTGTGCCCCGAGTCTGGGCTCCCCCATAGGAAGGAGACACATTCTCTGGAGATCCAACTGAGCCAGCAGCAGCCAAAGCCGCCCTCCAGGATACACCCCAGAGCCTGGAGCACTTGGCTCAGGACTCCACAAGAGTCCAGAGAAGGAAGGCTCGGCAGTGCCAGACCTCCTGGGCACCCCTGCCAGGCGCCTCCCTCCGCCCATCACTCACAGACCCTACCCTCCACTCCAGGGAAGAGTGGGGGTGATGTGCAGGGAGGGGGTGGGGTCACCTGCATTCACCCCCTGCGGGGCCGGGGCAGAGGGGGGGGCGGGGGGAGGTGGCACTGCTCAGCCTGGGGCGTCTGAGATCACTGCTGCCCGCCTCACTCTCAGGACTCCTCTCCTGGGCAGGAGCAGAAAGACCAGCCAGCCAGGAACCGGAAGTCAGCGAGTGAAACTGACAGGTGAGGGCGGGGTTCTGAGAAAGGACCTGGAAGACCTCAGGGCATGGCCAGGTATGTTTCTGGGGCAGCAGGTGTGTCCCAAAGCGGGGCGCCCAGCAGGTGGGGCCAAGCTGGGCAGGCCTGTACGTACCCCCTAGATTCCGCTCAGCCTGGCTGGGCTCCAGCAGCACAAAGTACATCCCTGTCCTTCCTCCCCCCTTCCCATCCCAACCCCAGAGCCTGGCATAGACCTGCTCTCCCGCAGTTTCCCGCTGACTGGCGGGTGTAGGCACCCTCCCCCATCCACCCCCTCCTCCCTCCCCCCACCTCCCAACACCCTGTTTGGGGTTTTTTGGGGGGTGGGGTCACACCCAGCAATGCTCAGGGGTTCCTCCTGACTCCGCACTCAGGAATTACTCCTGGCGGTGCTTGAGGACCCAATGGGATGCCGGGGATCGAACCTGGGTCCACCGCCGTGCAAAGCTAAACGCCCTCACCGGTTGCAACACTCTGGACAAAACCGCCATGCTCAGCCTTTGGTGGGCTCCGCACATGGCGGCAGAGCTGTCCTGGCTGAGTCATATGAGCCCCAGGTTCTCAGCTGGGACCAAGTCACACAGCCTGGGGTTCGTTGTGGGAGATGTGGGGAAGCCACATAACAAAACAACAACAACAACAACAGCAAACCCAAGGTTGGGATAGTCCCCTGGGCAAAGCAGTTTAGGTCTTAGAATTTGTAAGGGGAAGGGCGGGAGATGGGATAGAACAGCAGGTAGGGTGCTGACCTTACACAGCAGCCCTGGGTTCGATCCCTCACCTCCCATTGGGTCCCCCAAGACCCTCCAGGAGTGGTTCCTGAGGACAGAGGCAGGAGTGACCCCTGAACATCACCCGGTGTGGCCCCCCAGGTACTCGGCTCTCCCTGCACCCCCTGAAGTGTGATGTGCTCAGTGACCGTCCTTAATGTCTGTGGACTTCAACAAGGGCTGGCGGCTGGGAGCCAGGCTGGGGATCGGCATTGTACCGAACCAATGGCCAGCCTGTGAGTCACTCAGGGCTGCCCAGGAGGCCCTCACGCTTGGACAGTCCATGTGTATGTGTCTCCCTGTGTAGCTGTTGGTCTCATTTTCTGGGACCAACCCCTGCTGGACAACGGATTGGCTTTAGTGTGGGCTGGAGCGATATCACTGCGGGTAGGGCATTTGCCTTGCACGTGGCCGACCCGGGTTTAATTCCTCTGTCCCTCTCGGAGAGCCAGGCAAGCTACTATGGCAGATTTGATATGCCAAAAACAGTAACAAATCTCACAATGGAGATGTTACTGGTGCAGTGCTACAGTGTAATCGCTATAGCTCTGTGGGGTGAGGGGGTGGGGGGTGGGGGGTGGGGGCGACTCATTCATGATCTGCACCTCTAGCAGGCTGACCGCCCCTCCTCAGGGCCTTCTGATGGGGTCTGCAATCTGGTGTCCCATTGAATGATGGCTGGCCCCCCACATCCGTGCCCCACCCCCACCTCCTGCGATCTGCCTCTTCCCAGACCTCAGGCAGCTGGATCTACCCCCAGCCCCCCTGTCTCCCGGCCACCCCTCCCCCCCAAGCCAGCCATACCAGTCCAGGGCTATCAGACCCTTGTTCTTCAAGGCCAGGAGCACCACGGATGGGGGAGCCTCCAGCGGGGCAGCCCCAAAATTGAAGTCCAGCTTCAGAGAGGTGTAGACGGGGGGGATCTGGCTGGTGCTATGGGGAAGGAGACAGAGAGCTGGGGATAGGGGGGCCCTGTGGCTGAGGAGGATGCTCAGGGACACTCCTGATCGGGAGGTGGTGACAAGAGGAATGAGGGGGCCATGGTGGGGACCGGCCTACAGCACAGTCCTCAACTTCATCCCTGGCTTTTTATTTATTTATTTATGTTTTGCTTTTTGGGTCACACCCGGCAATGCACAGGTGTTCCTCCTGGCTCTGCACTCAGGAATTACTCCTTGCGGTACTCAGGGAACCACAGGGGATGTTGGGAATCGAACCCGGGTCGGCCGTGTGCAAGGCAAACGCCCTACCCACTGTGCTATTGCTCCGGCCCCCATCCCTGGCTTTTCTCCAGCGTAGGCGGGAGATTTAGTGATGGTGAGGGGGGTTTATCTAGGAAGCTGCTCCTTGGATGGGCCTCAAGCTGGCCGGGAGGACCCTGCCCTGGGCTGCCCACCCTCCCCCCCCACCGCCAATGAGGCTCACCTGTGCCGGGTGGGCACCCTATAGGTGAGTTCCCAGGGCGTGGGGTCCCGCTCCAGGTAGCTGTTGAGGGTGTCCAGGGAAAAGAGTTGCCATAGCTGCTTGCGGGTGATGCCCTCGGCGCTGCCCAGGGGGCAGATGTCCAGGACAGAGAGGAAGGGGTAGGTGGCCATCAGGGAGACGTGGCACAGGGGCTGCTTCTCCCCCACCGTGTTATCTGAAAGACGGGGGAGGGGGGTTGCGGAGGAGAGAGGGGAGGGGTTTGCCTCCCAACTACCCCAGCACATGCTCAACCTGCACTGATATCTGGTTTGGTTTTTTTTTTGGTTTTTTTTTTTTTTTTTTTTTTGCTTTTTGGGTCACACCCAGCGATGCACAGGGCTTACTCCTGGTTCATGCACTCAGGAATCACTCCTGGCCATGCTTGGGGGACCGTATGGGATGCTGGGAATAGAACCCGGGTCAGGCCGCGTGCAAGGCAAATGCCCTACCCGCTGTGCTATCGCTCCAGCCCCTGCACTGATATCTGGAGCCACCCCTTGCACCTATGGGTGCTGTTGGTATTGGTGTCACACCACATCCCACAGATAGCTCCATCCTGACACAGACCCTCCGGACATGTCCAGGGTTGGGCATTTGTCACTGCTCCCGTGGCGACCAGGGGGTCACCTGAATGCTTGGTTGTGGGGCTCGGATGAGTGTCTGTGGTGGAGGGGGTTGTGGGGGGCTCCATCCTCTATTAGCTGTGGGGCTTGTGTGCGGTCCAATTGCGGTGCTTACTGGGGAGGGGGCCACGCCCCTTCGATTTGGTGCTCACCACCACCACCACCCCGCCATGCATCTTTTTTTTGTTTGTTTGTTTGCTTTTTGGGTCACACCTGGCGATGCTCAGGAGTTCCTTCTGTCTCTGCACTCATGAATTACTCCTGGCGATGCTCGGGGCACCATATGGGGTGCCGGGGATTGAACCTGGGTCAGCTACATGCAGTAAATGCCCTACCCACTATACTATTTCTCCAGCCCTGGCCGTGCATCTTAGGCCCCTGCTCAGCCCCCGTGGGCGGCGCCGGGGATCAAACCCTCGACACCACACATACGAGGCAGCTGCTCTGGGCCACAGCACCATTGCCTGGGGTCACCCCTAATTTTAGCACGTTCTCACTTCCCTGAAGCCCCCAAAGAAACCCAGGGCCAGCCAGGAGGCTGCCTCTCCACCTTCACCCCTTCTACTCCATTCCCACCCAGCCCTGCATTTCTCCTCTCCTCCCTCTGTGGACACTTCTTGTTCATTGAATTCTTTTATTTTTCCCACACCCAGTGGTGCTCAGGGCTGACACCTGGCTCTGTGCTCAGGGATCACTCCTGGTGGGAATCGGGGGGCCATACGGGGTGTCGGGGAATGAGCCCAGGTCTGCCACGTGGAAGATAAGCTCCCCATGGGTGTGTTTCTCCTCTCCTTGCCCAGCAAATGTATAAGCATTTATAATATTAATCATTTTGTATGGGCACAATAAGAGATACACTAAGCTTATAGAATTGCTCTCCTGGGGTCATCTCGATCTCAGACTACAGTGCTCAGGCCCTATTAGTCTTTCCTATCCCTAGCAGGGTCCTAGTCTCGTCGTAACTTTTGGATCATGACAGCATTTGTCATGATCAAGCTCTTAACTTATAGTTAAGAATTGTGGTGCTTTGGGGGCTGGAGTGATAGCACAGTTGGTAGGGTGTTTGCCTTGCATGCGACCCAACCCGGGTTCGATTCCCAGCATCCCATATGTCCCCCAGGCACGACCAGGAGTAATTCCTGAGTGCACGAACCAGGAGTAACCCCTGTGCATTGCTGGGTGTGACCCAAAAAGCAAAAAAAAAAAAAAAAAAAAGAATTGTGGCACTTTGGTCAGGCCTGTCTCGATGCCAGGGTAGCACATAGCTTACCGCTTGCCCTGGTTCCATCCTGTCCCTCGTCGGGACCCTGCTTTTGGGGGCGCTAGGAAGTGAGGGTAACTGAGGCTTAAGTTGAGAAAGCAAATGCCCAGGAATGAATAATATTCGAAGCCAATTACATCCCAAGTTACAGAAGCATTATATTAATTGTCTTCTTGTGTCTATACAAAAGGACATTGCTTGAAAGTAAACTATTCAAAAGACATAAGGAGAGGAGAGAGGCAAGATTAACTTACAATACAATTTCAGTGTCCTAGAAGGATCTGACCTTACAAATTAACAGAGTCTGATTAGGGGGAAAAGATGATCAATTGGTTGGGGAAGAGAGCACAGAGAAGTGGTTACAGATAAACAAAAGAACGGGAGTGACTCAGGAGCACTTTGATGGGTGTGACCCGATAAACCTAAGCTCCTTGTGGCAAGGGAGAAAGGACAAAGCAATGTTATCCTGTAGTCAGGGGACCATATGGGGTGTTGGGAAATGAGCCCAGGTCTGCCACGTGGGAGACAAGCTCCCTCTCTGCTGTGCCATCCCTCCAGACCCACCTTCCCTGAATCCTGCATGTGACTTTCCCGACTCTGTTTCGTGGGGGGAGGCCACGCCTGGCAGTGCTCAGGAGTCACTTCTGGTGGGGCTTGGGGAATCATATGTGGTGTGGGGGAGTGAATCTGGGGCCGCAGCCCATCTGCTGCGCCATCTCTGCTCTCCGACCCTAACTGGCCTTTTTCAGGGGATGTGCCAAGGCCCTGTGGCCCGCTGCTCTTTGTTATCTTCCCTGACGCTCATTATCCTCATTTTACAGAAGAGGAAACAGATGCATTTGCCCAAGGGCTTTCTTTTGCTTATTTGGGTGAGCCACATCTGTTGGTCCTCAGAGGTTACTCCCAGTCCAGTGCTCTGGGGTCCCCCCTAGAGGTGCTCAGGGTGACCATGTGGTAGTGAGGTGAGAACCCGGGGCTCCAGCATGTGACTCCTGCACTCCGGTCCACCAAGCTCTCTCCTCGGCTCTTGGGGGTGCTCTAGGCCCCCTCCCCGCTTATCCAGGGGGCTGGCTAGTGAAAAGCTCCTTTAGAGGGGAGGAGGTTGTGTCTCCGAGCAGATGGGCTTGGCCCCAGACCCCCGGGGGCGGGGGAGAGCAGAGCTCCAACCCTTCCTGTGGCATCCTCTATCCACAGTTCCGGGACCCCCTCCCCCACAGGCCCCCACAGGCCATCCTCACGCGACCCTCGCCCTCTCCAGCACCCAATGGTACCTCTCTGGGACAGGAGGGAGTAGCTGATAGTCCAGGAGTAGTGGCAGCGGAGTTTGGGATGGGCGGACAGGTAGATGACCTCCTGAGACCGGGGCGGCATGCTGCCCTCCGAGGGCGCCATTTGCAGCGCTGTGCGGGGCCAAGGCAGACGAGACCTTAGCAGGGACCTGAGACCTGCCTCTCCTGAGCTAGCCGGGTGCCCACCACCCCTGCAGGGCAGAGTGGACCCCACTTCCTGCTTCTTGGCACCTGCACCACACCTTGAGTACAACCTTCCAGTAAGGAAGTTGCCACTCAGAGGGCGACCCCCACCTCAGTGCCACAGCTGGAACTGGAACGTGGAGGCATCGGGATGCCCCTGGGATCTGAGTCAGGGTTTCTCAGTTACTTTTCATGCCTGTGGTTCCCCACTTCTGCCCTTCCTGTGGGCCCGTTCTACAGGCTGGCCTCCTAGTCTCATGCCCTGCTTCCTTCCTTGTTTACATTATTTTCCACCTGTCACCCTCTTGGGCTATCCTTGAGTTTTCCTTGGGCTAGCCTTGGGTTATCATTGGAACTATCCTTGGACTATCCTTGAGCTATCCTTGGACTATCTTTGGGCTATCCATGGGCTATCCTTGGGCTATACTTGAGTTATCTTTGGGCTATCCTTGGGTTATCACTGGACTATCCTTGGACTATTCTTGGGTTATCCTTGGACTATCCTGGGACTATCCATGGGCTATCCTTGGGCTATCCTTGGACTATCCATGGGCTATCCTTGGACTACCCATGGACGATCCTTGGGCTATCCTTGAGTTATCTTTGGGCTATCCTTGGGTTATCATTGGACTATCCTTGGACTATCCTTGGACTATCCTTGGACTATCCATGGGCTATCCTTGGACTACCCATGGACTATCCTTGGGCTATCCTTGGGTTATCCTTGGACTATCCTGGGACTATCCATGGGCTATCCTTGGGCTATCCTTGGACTATCCATGGGCTATCCTTGGACTACCCATGGACGATCCTTGGGCTATCCTTGAGTTATCTTTGGGCTATCCTTGGGTTATCATTGGACTATCCTTGGACTATCCTTGGACTATCCTTGGACTATCCATGGGCTATCCTTGGACTACCCATGGACTATCCTTGGGCTATCCTTGAGTTATCTTTGGGCTATCCTTGGGTTATCATTGGATTATCCTTGGACTATCCTTGGGCTATCCTTGAGTTATCTTTGGACTATCCATGGGCTATCCTTGGACTATCCTTGAGTTATCATTGGACTATCCTTTGAGTATACTTGGGCTATCCTTGGGCTATCCTTGGGTTATAATTGGACTATCCTTGGGCTACCCTTGTGCTATCCTTGGGCTATCCTTGGGGCTATCCTTGAGTTATCTTTGGGTTATCCTTGGGTTATCATTGGACTATCCTTGGACTATCCATGGGCTATCCTTGGGCTATCCTTGAGTTATCATTGGACTGTCCTTTGAGTATACTTGGGCTATCCTTGGGCTATCCTTGGGCTATCCTTGGGTTATCCTTGGACTATTCTTGGGCTGTTCTTGAGCTATCCTTGGACTATCCTTGGATTACTTGGGCTATCCTTAAACTATCCTTGGGCTATCCTTGGATTATCCCTGAACTATCCTCGGGTTACCTTTGGACTATTCTTGGATTCTCCTTGGGCTATCCTTGGATTATTTTTGGACTATTCTTGGGCTATGCTTGGACTATCTTTGAACTACCCTTAGACTATTCTTGGACTATCCTTGGATTAACATTGGAGTGTCTTTGGAGTATCCCTGGACTTTCCTTGGAATAGCAGTCTGCCCCCTGTTGAGAAGTGCCAGGCTAGTTAACCAGCCCTAACTGAGGCTACTCAGTGCCACCTGCCCTCCCCCAGGCCCGGTGCTGGCGAGTACCCAGGGGCTCCCCAGGGCTGACAGGCGGGCTATTCTGCTCCAGGAACAGGCGGTAGGAAAGGGCGCAGTTGCCTTCGTTCAGAATCACCAGCTCCCGAGACTGCTTGGAGCTTACCAGCAGGTTCCCAAAGTCCAGTTCCTTCTCCTTGGCCTGAGGACCAAAGTCAGCCGGCTTGGGTGGGCAGGGGCGGCCCCACACAGACGCGTCCACCCTACCCCCCTCCAGGGCTCCCCAACTCACAGAGATATTACTGAGGACGCCCACGCCCACCAGCCGGAGCAGGTAGTGGGTGGTGGTGGGGGGCTTGGTCTCCGGGGGCAGGCCGGCTTCCCAGACACACAGTCCTTCTCGGAACAGGTACTTGGTCTGCTCCAGAGGGCTGAAGATCCATGTCAGGGTCTGGGGTCAGAGACAAGAACCAGGTCTGGCCTCCCCCCAGCCCGGCTACTTTGCCACTGACTGTCGCCTCCCTCTGCCTCTCATCTTGTTCGTTCAGGGAAATAAGCAACTCGGTGCTGTCTCAGGAAGCTCAGAGAGGGCCTGCATTTGCCCTGGGTCACACAGTGGGCAGGGGTGGAGGAACGTGGGCTGTGGAGTCTCCTAGACAGTTTCTTGCCCAGCTCTGCCCTGGGCTGGCCTTGGTACGTCAGTGGCTCTCATGTCAACCTGGGTCTCCTCAACCTCTCAGCCAGGCCCTAGCTGGGAAGGGGGTGGGGCATCTGATTTTTGGAAGAATCCCTTGATTTGTTTGTTTTCGTTTGTTTTGCAGAGCTGGGGAGGAACCCAGAGCAGGCAGGGTTCACTGCTGACACATCCCTGTGGCCCCATACGGTGGTTTGTTTTGTTTGCTTGTTTTGTCTATTTGGGAGACATACCCAGCTATGCTCAGGGCTGACAGCTGGCTCTGTACTCAGGGGTCACTCCTGGAGGTGCTTGGGGAACTGTATGGAGTGCCAGGGATTCAATCCGAGTTGGCCACATGCAAGGCAATGCCCTGTCCACTCTCCTGTTTCTCCACCCCACTTATCTGATATTTTTTTTCTTTTGGGGTCATACCCGGCGATGCACAGGGATTACTCCTGGCTTTGCATTCAGGAATTACTCCTGGCGGTGCTCAGGGGACCATATGGGATGCTAGGAATTGAATCCGGGTAGGCCGCATGCAAGGCAAACGCCCTACCCGCTGTGCTATCTCTCCAATCCCTGGTATTTTTTTTAAAGTAGAAAACAAAACTTTATTTGATGTAAACGTCTTAAAAGTTTCAGTATAAAGTAACAAAATCAACAACCTACAAATCGGACTGAACACTTTACTAGTACCGTCGGTTTTTTTCTCCCTGTGATTCGCAGACAACTAGGATCTCTTGTTTTTTTCATTCCAGGATCTTTTTCTGAGACTCAAGTCAGTAATTTGATGATTACCAGGTGCTGGGTATGGTGGTGAGCGTACCTCAAGAAGAGGGTTCAGATTTTTATTTTTTAAAATACTTTCATTTTATTCTCTTTGAATTGTATATTCATCTGCTATTTGTTTTTGGTTGTTTTTTTGGGGGGCAACCACACCCAGTGGTGCTCAGGGCTTACTCCTGGCGGCCTGGCCTCGGGGGGGGGCCATATGTGGTGTACCCCTGGGTCTGTATTGTCTCTCTGGCCCCTACTCTGCTATTTTGGATCCAGCCCAGGCCCCTCTCCAAATAGGGAGGAAAGGGCGGAGGGAAGGAAGGAGGGAAGGAGAAAGGGAAGGGGGAGCTGGGGCCCTCTCCCACCCCGTGGCTGTTGGAGGCCCTTGGGACTCCCTCTTTCATGGGTACCAACCCTTTGGGAGCAACATCCAGCTGCTCCAAGCCTCTCCCTAGGGATCTCACAGCTTTGGGGGACCCAGGGTGGACAGAGGATGTGTCCCTAAACACTGGTACCACCAACTCTGGTGCCAGGTTTGAGGTGGTTTGGGCTCTGGAATGTTGGCTTTGCACATGTGGGGCTTGGGTTCAATCCTCAGATCAGTGGTCTCCTGAGCATGGAAGGAAAGAAGGGAGGAGGGAAGGGAGGAAGGAAGGAAGGGAGGGAGGGAGGGAGAAGGAAGGAAGAAGGAAAGGAGAGAGGGAGGGAGAGGGAAGGAAGGAGGAAGGAAGGAAGGAAGGAAGGAAAGGGAGGGAGGGAGGGAGGAAGGAGGGAGGGATGAAAGAAGGAAGGAAGAAGTAAGGAAGGAAGCAAGCAAGGAAGGAAGGAAGGAAGGCAAGGGAGGGAGGGAGAAGGAAGGAAGAAGGAAAGGAGAGAGGGAGGGAGAGGGAAGGAAGGAGGAAGGAAGGAAGGAAGGAAGGAAAGGGAGGGAGGGAGGAAGGAGGGAGGGATGAAAGAAGGAAGGAAGAAGTAAGGAAGGAAGCAAGGAAGGAAGGAAGGAAGGCAAGGGAGGGAGGGAGGGAGGGAGGAAGGAGGGAGGGATGAAAGAAGGAAGGAAGAAGTAAGGAAGGAAGCAAGGAAGGAAGGAAGGAAGGCAAGGGAGGGAGGGAGGGAGGGAGGAAGGAGGGAGGGATGAAAGAAGGAAGGAAGAAGTAAGGAAGGAAGCAAGCAAGGAAGGAAGGAAGGAAGGCAAGGGAGGGAGGGAGGGAGGGAGGGAGGAAGGAGGGAGGGATGAAAGAAGGAAGGAAGAAGTAAGGAAGGAAGCAAGCAAGGAAGGAAGGAAGGAAAGGAGGGAGGGAGGGAGAAGGAAGGAAGAAGGAAAGGAGAGAGGGAGGGAGAGGGAAGGAAGGAGGGAGGGAGGGAGGGAGAGAGGAAGAAGGAAAGAAGGAAGGAAGGAAGGCAGGCAAGGGAGGGAGGGAGGGAGGAAGGAGGGAGGGATGAAGGAAGGAAGGAAAAGGAAGGAAGGAAGGAGGAAGGAAGGAAGGAGGAAGGAAGGAAGGAGGAAGGAAGGAAGGAAGGAAGGAAGGGAGGGAGGGAGGGAGGGAGAGAAGGAAGGAGGGACAGAAGGAAGGTCAGGGAGGACAGGAAGAGAGGGAGGAAAGAAGTAAGTAAGGAAGGAAGGAGTAAGGAAAGGAGGGAGGGAAGGAGGGAGGGAGGAAGAAGGATGGAGGGATGATGGAGGGAAGAAGGACAGGGAGGAAGGAAGGAAGGAAGGAAGGAGGGAGGGAGGGAAGGAAGGAGGGAGGAAGGGAAGAAGGGAGGAAGGAAGGAGGAGGGAGGGAGGACGGAGGGACAGAAGGAAGGTCAGGGAGGACAGGAAGAGAGGGAGGATAGAAGGAAGGAAGGAAGGAAGGAGTAAGGAAAGGAGGGAGGGAGTGAAGGAGGGAGGGAGAGGGAAGGAGGGAGGGAGGAAGGAAGAAGGATGGAGGGACGATGGAGGGAAGAAGGACAGGGAGGAAGGAAGGAAGGGAGGAAGGAGGGAGGGAAGGAAGGAGGGAGGAAGGGAAGAAGGGAGGAAGGAGGAGGGAGGGAGGATGGAGGGACAGAAGCAAGGTCAGGGAGGACAGGAGGACAGAGAGGAAGGGAGGAAGGGAAGGGGGACTGGGGCCCTCTCCCACCCGTGGCCCCTGGAGGCCCCTCACCAGTCTCTCGTTGGGTTGGATGACGCCCCTAGAGGGCTGCACTTCCAGCATCTTCCGGTGCTGCTGGGACACCCTCCACTCGAACTCCAGGGGCAGGCGCGAGGGGTTGCGCAGGGTGAAGGGGCTGGTGGAGGAGTTGCCCACCCAGGTGGGCCGGAAGTAGATGGCCTGGGAGGTGTCCAGCTGCAGCTGCTGCGGCTCCTCCCGGCTCTGCAGCGTCACCTCCTGCAGCCAGAAGGGGGCGCCAGTGCCTCTGTCAGCCCACAGACCAGGACCCCCTTATCAGAGCTCCTGGAAGCCACAGTGGGTAACATTGGGTTGTCCTTGCTCGTCCCGCAGGGAGCTTAGGTTTATTGAGTTACTCTTACAACAGTGCCCCTGAAGCACACCCAGTTCCATCAGGTACTCCTAATCCTACACTGCTTTTCTCTTTCCTTTCTGTCCTTTGCATAGTTTAATCATGGCTTTTTGTATAGACACAGGAAGACAGTTGATGCTATGCTTTTGTAACATGGGAGTTAATTGACTCCGAATGATATTTACTCCTGGGCATCTGTCATATTTACCTGACTTAAGCCTCAGTTGCCCTTCCTAACTTCCTAACACCCTCATAAGGAGGGTCCCAGCAAGGAACAAGGATGGAGCAAGGGCAAGCTGGTAAGCTACCCTGGCATCAGAAAGGGACCAGCTAAGTGTGCCATAAGACGTATAATAAGTTAAGAGCAGAGCCGTGGAACAAACTCTGTCATGACCCAAAAAAGAAGTAATTGCATAAGGACCCTGCTGGCGTTAAGAAAGATTAACCTGGCTTGAGGACTGTGGTCTGGAATGTACAGCGAGATGTCCCCAGGAAGAGCCAACCTTTAAGCTTAATATGTCTCTTACTGTGTTCATACAAAATGACTAGCAATATTATTAAGAAGTAAATTTACTGTGATTGTTTAAAAGAATTACTTGGTGAGGAAAGGAGAAAGCAATATGCCCTAGATGGAATCCGCCCTTGAGCGGATCTCCTAGTAATCTAGAGTGCTGGACGCTCAGATCAAATCTTGCTCCTAGAAGAACTTCCCCTGAGGGAGGGGCTTTACATCTGTTTGTTGTTATGACACTGCTCAACTCCACCTATGTGTACCCCACCCTTCATGATTTCTATATAACTATTCTGTAATGGCTGGAGCAATAGCACAGCGGTAGGGCGTCTGCCTTGCACGCAGCCAACATGGCCGACCCGAGTTCGATTCCTCCGCCCCTCTCGGAGAGCCCGGTAAGCTACCGAGAGTATTGGATATGCCAGACACAGTAACAACAAAGTCTCCAATGGAGATGTTACTGGGCCCGCTCGAGCAAATCAATGATCAACGGGAGGGCCTTTCTTTCTTTCTTTCTTATTCTGTAATGGGAAGAGATAAGACCAGGCTAGGAACTAGGTTGGGGAAAAGAGAGAAATAAATGGCCCCTGATGACCAACCAGCCTCAGGGCCCTATTCCTCTGTTCCCCTATACCCCCATCCTTTGTCTGTCCATCACTGTGGACCGGCCAGGGAAACAGTTCTTGTCCATCGGTCTTATGGTCTCATGCCCTGCACTCAGGCTTTTTTTCCTTTCTTTCTTTTTTTTTTTTGCTTTTTGGGTCACAGGGGTTCCTCCTGGCTCTGCACTCAGGAATTACTCCTGGCGGTGCTCAGGGGACCATATGGGATGCTGGGAATCGAACCTGGGTCAGCCTCATGCAAGGCAAACACCCTACCCACTGTGCTATTGCTCCAGCCCACTCACACCTTTTTGAAACTCATGGGCCACGCTGGCCCAAGGCCCTGCGCTCACGGCCTGTGCAGCCTTGTGACTGATGCAGGAGAAGGTTCAAGGAAAGGATCCAGGAACCGCAAGGGGGCAAAGCTCACTGAGTTGCTACCAGCAGCACATAGAAACTCCTGCCTTAGAGATCCCACCTCTCCCTCCTGGGGCGCACAGCAGAGGTCCCTGAGGCCACTCTGGAGGCACAACACCTCGGTTCTGAGGCCAGTACCCAGACGCAGTTTTGGCCAAGGACAGCCCGTCGCCAAGACCCCGCCCCCCAAAGGCTGGCGCCTACCTTGAGATACTCGGGGTAGAAATTGAACTGCAGGAAGATCTCGTGAGGCGTCCAGGCCTGGCCCTTGGGGTACGTGCAGATGAGAAAGATCTGGTGGGCCCCTGCGGCCACCAGGCCCGAGCTGGGCCGCAGGGAGATGTGGGAGCTGCTTTGGGGCGCGAGACTGAAGGTGAGCAGCAGGGAGCCTGTGTTGGCTAGAAGCAGGCTCCTGTAGGAGGGTTCCCCTGGGGACACGGCCGGAAAGAGCTGGGGTGCGAGACGAGAGGGGCCACGCTCAGCACATGTGCATGCATAAAACACACACACATGTGCACATACACTCACACACTACACATATGCACACATACACAAAAGACACACACGTGCACTCACACACACTGCACATAGGCACACATGTACAAAACATGCACAGACACGTGGCATGCATGCAAACATACATGCACACAAGCATGCACACACAAGCACAAACTACTCATACATGCGCACAGAAACACACACACTCACTCTGGGGACCACCCTGTCACTCTCCTCTGGGAGCAGGGAATGAAGGAGGGTATGGCCTGTCACCCCCCAAAATGCTTCTGCTGGGATCGGAGTGACAGAAGAGCGGGGCAGGCATTTGCCTTGCAAACAGCCGACCCAGGTTCAATCCCTGGCACCTTCTCTGGTCCCCCGAGCTCCGCCAGGCGTGATCCCTGAGCACAGAGCCAGGACTAAGCCCTGAGCATTGGCTGGGTGTGGCCCCCAAACCAACAACAACCCCAAATAAAACAAGATGCTTCTGCTGCAGAGACCCCCGAGCTGGGAGACGGGGTGGCCCGAGCATCCTGGAGGTGAGCTGTCATTCTTTCCTTCCCAGGGGCCCCCGGGCCAGCCTCGGGAGGACCCACTCTCTGGGTCTGCGCCAGGAGCTCCGTCAGAAGCTCCGGGCAAGCAGCCCCCTCTACGAGCTGGCACTTAGGGAGGTGACTGAGGGGAGCCCCCTTTGAGAAGGGAGCAGCCCCCACATGCTCGCTCTCAAAACACTCCTTTGGCATCTCGGCCCAGCACCCAGCAGGCCCCCGGCCCCAGCCCCCTCCTCTGGGGCAGCCAGACGCGCCACAAGGCTCTGCCGGCGAGCCGGGGCGGGCACCACATGGCAGAGGCCAGGAGCATGGCTGAGAAAATGGGCTGGGGTGGAGAGAACCTGGGCAGTGTGTGTGTGTGTGTGTGTGTGTGTGTCTGTGTCTGTGTCTGTGACTAAGTGTCTTTGTCTCTGTGTGTGTCTGTGTATCTTTGTCTCTGGTGTGTCTGTGTGTGTATGTGTGTGTGCCTCTGTGCGTGTATGTCTGTGTGTGTTCGTGTGTGTTTTGTGTGTCTGTGTATTTATCTATGTGTGTCTGTGTGTATGTATGTAGCCTGTGTTTGTGTACGTGTCTGTATATATATATGTGTGTGTCTCTGTATGTTTATGTCTGTGTGTGTCTGTGTGTCTATGTGTGTCTGTGTGTTTGTATATATGTCTGTTTTTGTCTGCATATGTCTGTGTATCTGTGTGACTGCGTATATGTCTGTGTGTCTCTGCATGTGTCTCTGTGTGTGTGTCTGTCTGTATGTCTGTGTCTGTGTGTATCTGTGTATATCTGTGTGTCTGTGTGTGTCTGTGTGTCTGTCTGTGTATGTCTGTGTGTGTAAGTCTGTGTGTGTGTCTGTGTCTCTGTGTATCTGTGTATATCTGTGTGTCTCTGTGTCTTTCTGTGTGTCTGTATGCATATCTGTGTGTGTTGGGGGTCTTCAGGAAGTGGCACCCTTGAACTGAACTCAGGTGTGGGAGGTTTTGGGGCTGGGAGGGCACAGTTGAGGTGGCTCCTTCACAAAACACAAAAACGGAAAGGGCCAACGGTGGGGACAGCGGGAGGGTGCTCGCCTTATCTGCACCCTAGCCGGGATTGGTCCCTGGCACCCACATGGTCCCTTGAGCCCCCTAGGAGTGATCCCTGAGCACTGCTGGTATGGCCGCACCCCCCAAACCTAAGTGGCCTCCTTTTCCAGGGACACGAGGCTTGCAAAGATGAGCAAGGGAAGCCGGAAGCGGCTTCCGTGAAGGAACCAGCGCTTGGCGGGAGTCTGGGCTTCTGTGGGCCTCCCCTCAGCCGGGGACTTGGGACTCCCGGAGGCGGGGCCACCCCTGGCAGCAGCTCTGTGCCCGCCAAGACACGCTCACGCTGTGGGAGGAACACACGCAGGAAGACCCCGGCAAGTCCTGTGGATGGAGCCCCCGGGGCCCAGCCTCCCTGTCCCTGGCCCTCAGCTGTGGGAGCACACTCACCTTGGGGGCGTCCAGGGAGTACTGGGGGATGTGGTGCTCCGTGGCCGCGGGGTAGCTGTGGCCTTGGGCCTGCACCTTCAGGCACCAGGATGGGCACACGGTACAGTCCTTTTCGATATTGTGGTATCTCAGGAGTACCTGGGTGGGGGATGGATGGCCGTGGGGGGCGGCAAGCTCAGAGTCTCACCCTGCCAGGCACCCCAGCTGCCGACCTCAACTGAGGGAGTCCACCCCCAACACCGCCCCATGGGTGACAGGAGGGAGGGGCCCCCAAGGAACACAGCATAGAGTGGGTCAGAAAACAGCCTCTTCCATACTGAGCACTGAGCGAGGAGCCCTTGCCCCAGAACAGGGCAGTACCCCAGAGAAATAGGGTGAACTGCTGGCCCCACGAGCCACACTGGCAAAGTAAGACACGCGTAGTCTCACTTTTTTTTTCTTTTTGGGTCATACCCAGCAATGCTCAAGGCTGACTCTTGGCTCTGCACCCAGGAACTACTGCTGACGGTGCAAGGCAAATGCCCTCCCCGCTGTACTGTCACTCTGGCCCCTCACTTTGAATGAGGACGAGGACTCTCATTTCCACAGCACCTTCTATTCAGCCCCAGGGAGCCCCAAAGCTGGTCGCTTCAGCTGTCCAACCTGACCAGAAGGTCTCCTGGTGAGACCAGCCACACTGCAGGGGCTCAGTGGTCACAAGTGACTGGTGGCTAAGGGGATATCATGACAGCCCAGGGCCAGGACCTGGACTCTGACAATCTGGTCACTATGTGGCCTCTGCCTTCTAGAACCTCGGACTCCCGACTCTGCTCAGAGGTAAGAACAGAGGCAAAGTCAGCTCAGAGGGTCGGTAGCAGGCCCGGAGCCATAGTCCAGCAGGGAGGGGGCCTGCCTTGCCCGTGGCCCACCTAGGTTCGTTCACCGGGATCCCATTTGGTCCCTTGTGCACCACCAGGAGTGATTCCTGCTGGCAGGACAAAAAGCAGGGGTGGGGGGTGGAGGGGCGGGGTAAGCAAACAAACCCAAACAGATTTGGTTTTGCCTCTGAGGAAGTTGCCTGGAGTGCCAAAGCTGGGAAGAGGCTCTGACCCCCACCTACTGCGAGCCCCCTGCTCATCCCCCCACCCCCTGAGTTCTAGGAGAGCACAGCAGAGCAAGGGGGGCTCAGAAGGAAGGGAGCAGGGTCTCACTGGGGCCTGTATCTGAGTTCCCTGCCCAAGGGATGTTACGGTAAGAGGCCGCTTCTGACCCTCCTAATTCTCCAGGCCCCGACTCCGGCCCTGGCCTGTTCCTGCCCATGATGGTGCTGTAATTCCTGTGCCCACAGTGGTGGGGACTGAACCCAGGGCTCACACATGGGGCACGGCTCTGCCCCTGAGCTCCGTCATGGCCCCCCATTGTCCCCCTCCCCAGCTCTTTGATTTGGTTTCTTTTAAATTTTTTTCTTTCTGAGTCATACCCAGCGATGTTCAGGGGTTACTCCTGGCTTTGCCCTCAGGAATTACTCCTGGCGTTGCTCGGGGGACCCTATGGGATGCTGGGAATCGAACCCGGGCCTGCCTCGTGCAAGGCAAATGCCCTACCCGGTGTACTACAGCTCCAATCCCAAATGAGTTGGTTTCTTCTTGTTTGTTTTTTGTTTGGGGACCACATCCTGGTGTTCAGGGATCACTCCTGGTGCTCCCCACGGGACCCCATCGGGTGCCAGGGTTTAAGCTGGAATCAGTTCTACTCTGGTTGCTATCTCTGGAGCCCTCTCTTTAGATGACTGGAAAGCAGCTGTGAGCCCCGGGACACCCCGTTTTTCCAGAGTGTTTGACCCCAGTTACTCCCTCTGGAGGCTGAAAGGCCACAGGGGAGTGAGATACAGCCAGATGGACCCCAGCAGGATGCCCACACACCTAGGCAGACCTCCCATACCCTCCGCGTGTACCTTATAGAGTGCAAAGGCTTCAAGCTCCACAGAGAAGAGCCCCCTAGGGTGCGGCGGGTGGAAGTGCAGGCGCATGGCCATGGACTTGAGCGGGGGCACCTCGCAGCTCTCTGGGGTCACCCAGAAGGGGCAGTCAGACCTGTGTGTCCAGACCACTGTGACCTTGCCCTTGGTGTGGTTCGTCAGGCACAGGGGGATGGGGTTGGGGTGCTGGGGCCCGGGGCAGCCCCCAAAGTCCACTTGGACGGGCTCGATGCTGACGTGGGGGGGGAAGATGGTCAAGTTGCCGGTGCCATCCAGGAAGAATTCGGTCATGGGGGGCACGAAGGGGTACTGTGGGGCTGGTGTGTCCTGCATGGAGACAGACAGGTGTGGGGGAGGGGGGAACTCGCGCTGCCTCCCCTCCCCCTCAGGCTCTCCCTGAGGCATTGGAGGTACTCTGGCACCTAGCTAAGGCAGAGGCAGGGATGGGGAGCCTGCTTGGGGGAGAGGGGAGGGGGCACGGGGGCTTCTTCACACCTCCGTGGAGAGCATGAGGGCCCCGTCGAGGTCCTGCTCCAGCTTCTTCTCCGTAAGCATGGCACACAGGATGTCGGGCGGGTACAGCGTCAGGCCCCGCGCCAGGTGTGTGCGGTACCATGCCAGGTGCGCCGGCCTCAGGACGGCTGGCTTGGAGCTGTCGGAGTGGCAGGTCCCGATCAGGTCCAGGAAGAGCGGGTCCTGGAACAGCCATCCCGGAGGCCCCTGTGAGTCCGGGCCTGGGGAGGGGGTGCCCAAGCCCAGGCTCCCAGCCCTGCTGTGAGGAGACACCCCCCCCTCCAGACCTCCCCGCTCCATCAGCAGGACATGGTGGCACGGACTTCCTGAGCCCACCCCATTTCTTACTCTTTCCTTGCTGGGGCATCTCCATCACACTCCCTGCCACAGCCCAGTTCCAAACCCTGGGCCAGCAGGCGCCCTAGGTGGTATGACCCCGGCCTCTCTGATGAAGGTTCCAGAATCCCGGGGTGGGGTGGGGTGGTGACTTATGCCAGTGGGTAATGCCTGTGACTATGGATCAGGATCCAGGGACTGTGAGCACTGAGCTTTGTGGCTGGGCCCTCCTGTGCCCCCCACCTGATGGTGGATGACACAGGCCACTCTCCGGAAGTAGATGAAGGGCTGGGCGGGCTGGAAAACACAGCGCAGGACCCGGCGGGCCTTGCCCTCCAGGGTCCCGAAGGCCGGCTGGATGCTGAAGACGCTCTCCTGGCAGTCGATGGCGAACTGGAAGTAGGCGGTGCATTCGGACTTGTTCTCTATCCACAGGCGCTGCTCCGCGCGCGCCCCGAGGTTGATCCATCTGAAGTCCACGCAGGGGCGCTGCAGGGAGACAGCAGGACCTGGACATAGGAGACGGAGGTCTCTGAGAGGGGGTCCCTCCCCTACAGCCTCCCTGGCTGGAAAGGTGGGGTGACCCCGCGCCTCCCCACCTAAGCTACCGGGGTGAGGGGCTGGATTGAACCATCATCTCCTGTCGGTCCCAAACTGATTCCTATGGAGGCCACCAGGGGGCAGCAGACGCCCAGGATGCAGGGCAAGGAGGGGCCAGACTCCGCGAGTGGCTCAGCTGCTCGGGATCTGAAATTAGGGGGCTGGGGGGCGGGGCTGAGGCTGCTTCTAGACCCCCGAGGGGGAGGGGACAGGTCCGCGGGGTGGCTGGTACCTGTGCAGCAACCAATGACTTTGAGCGGGGTTTGGGAGGTGGAGCCGCAGGGTATGATGGAGAAGTAGTCCCTGGTTCTGCCGTCCAAAGTCGCTGGGCAGAAGAACAGGGACAGGTGTTTCTTCTCCCCTGGCCGCAGGATCCCCTGGACTTGGGAGCACCAGAAGGTCCGGTCTTCGGTCAAAGTGGGCTCGGCTTTCTCTATCCTGAAGGGGGCACTCACCTGGGAAGCCGGGTGTTGGGCGGGGAGGTCGAGGATGGGTAAGTGTGCCCAGGACATGGTGGCCTCTGTCCCTCCCCACTCCGCCTTGAGCGTGGGCGAGGAGGTCCCAAGGGACCCCAGTGGAGGAAGGTGGCCCACCCCCCAGACTGGTCTAGAGTCAGAACAGCCCTAGGCTGATCTTGGGATTGGCTATAGAGACTCAGCCCCCCAAGCTTAGGGGAGTAGGGGACACCCACTGAGATACACATGTATTGCGCCTGAGTGGTAGTCGAGCAGGGAGGGAGCTTGTCTTGCACACAGGGGACCTGGGTTCGATTCCCAGCATCCCATGTGGTCCTCCAAGAACCGCTGGCAGTGATCACTGAGTGCAAAGTCAGGAGTAAACCCTAAGCACCAGCTGGTGTGGCTGGCCCTCCCCAAACAAAAACGGAACCAAAAAGACCTGCGTGCACCAACATACATGGGTTTTAAGACATTCAGGACAAATGCCTGGCGAGAAAGAGGGGTGGGGTTGCTGCCTGGAAAGGAAGCAGGTCTTAGGGGCTCCCCGCCCGGGGTCCCTGGGCCCTCACGGCCGCAGGACGCGTACCAGCGACGGGTTATACAGCTCGATCTGCCTCTCGGCGGTGTTGCCCAGGGCCACGGGGCCGAAGTGCAGCACTTTCTGCTCGCCCTCCTCGTCCTGGTCTTCTGGCCGCTTCTGCATGATGCCCACCAGCAGCTGCGGGTACTTGGCTGGGGCAGCGAGCAGGGAGTCTCGGTGGGACGAAGTAGCCCCAGCAGAGCAGCCCCCCTGAGAAGGCAGGTGGCCCCCGGGGGAAACTCAGCGATCCTTCAGTGCTGGGGCTGGGCTGCCTGCGCCAGGCTTGAGCTGGGACTGGGGGCGTGCCTAGGCGGGGCTTGGGCGGACAGGGGCGTGGTTTAAGCGGACCTGGGGCGGGGCTAGGGTGGGCGGGCTTTCAATGGTGTCTGGGCGGGGCTTGAGCGAATCTGGGGCGTGGTTTGAGCCTCGCAGGTCGGGAGGTAGTTTAAGGTTGTCTGGGGTGGGCAGGGCCTGAGCAGGTTTCAAGGCGATCTGAGCGGGGCCTGAGTGGGTCTGGGGCGTGTTGAGCTGATCTGGACGTGGTTTAAGGGCATCTGTGGATGTGCGGGGCTTGAGCAGGTTTCAGGGTGTCTGGGCGGGGCTTGAACGGGTTTCAGGGCGGGGTTTGAGTGGGCCTTGGGGTGTGGTTTGATCTCTTCTGGGGGTTCGGGCGTGGTTTATGGGCATCTGGGGGTGGGCGGGGCTTGAACAGGTGTTAGGGTGTGTCTGGGCGTGGCTTGGCCGTGTGGGGCGGGGCGTGGTTTAAGGTCGTCCGGGATGGGCGGGGCTTGAGCAGGGCCTGGGGCGTGGTTTGGGCGGGGAGGGGCGTGGTTTAAGGGTTGCTGGGTGGGCGGGGCTTGAGCGGGTTTCAGGTTGGCCTGGGCGGGGCTTGTGTGGATCTAGGGTGTGTTTAAGCTTGTCTGGGGAGGGGTCGCGACCAGGCTGGGTGGGCCTGGGGTGGATCAGAGTGGGCAGCCTCAGGTGGGGATTCAGGGCAGTGTTCCAGACTCTGAAGCCTGAGGGCCACCTCACCCACAGTCCGCAAGTGGATGCAGCTTTTCTGCTCGTTGTTCTCCCCGTACCAGCACGTGGCCTGCACCTCATAGATGATGGCCATTACCGGATGACAGGTGACCTTCATGTGGGCGGTCTGGCCCGGCAGTATCAGACCAGTGGTGGGCAGGATCTGGAAGGGGCTGGGGCACTCCCAGCTGTAGAAGGAGGGCAGGTCCCTGGGGGAGGCATGGATGGGGTGTACTGATCCAAGCCTCTGGATTTACTCTGACCAGGACCGCTGCTTTAGAGGGGCAGAGACCCCGGGGTGGCACATCCTCTTTATGCCCCTCACCCTCCACCCCCAGAACTGCAGGTGTTCCGCCTCGCAGGACCCGCCCCACTGGCCTCAGCCAGGATTCTCACCCCACATTGTCCAGGCAGAACCAACCCTGCACCGCGTCCCCCACGGCGCACATGGGCAACTGCAGGCACGGAGGGGCCATTAGGGTGTGCTGGGGCAAGGTGGCCCGTAGGTCCACAGTGAACACCCCCTCTTCTTTCTCAAACCACAGCTGGTCCCTGTACTCTATCTGCATGGGGGGGGGGGGGGAGCACAGAGGTGCAGGGGGCCCAGTTGCCCATCACTGGCCCCGAAGCACCCACTGAACCCGGCCCTCAACTGTTCCTCCAGCACTTCCTCTGAGGGCTGGTCGGGGCTGAAAAGAGGGTCCAGGACCTGTAAACCCAGATGGTCTCAGCTCCAGGGACTTCAGTGGGAAATAGCATTGGGGGGTGGGGAGGAAGGATGTTTCAAAGGAGTAGGAAGAAATCTGACTCCAGTTCCTGGGCCAGACGGAGGGTACAGAGGGGAAGGCACTTCCCAGGCCTGCAGCCAGCCCTGGTTCCATGCCAGGATCACAAAGGATCCCTGGAGCACAGCCTTGGGTCAGAGCCCCCTGAGCATCTCTGGGTATGGCCCCAAACCCCTACCCCTTTACTCACAAAAAAGATGTCAAGGGCTTTCTGGTGGCCAATACAGTAGCAGCCCCTTTACCCAATGGGCTTCTCTGTCTATGAATTTAGGGTCAAAGCCCCTGCTCAACTCCCCAGGCTGACTGGTGGGGCTCCTTACTGCTCTCCCCTATTCCTATGCTCAGGCCACTGATCTGGGGTTCCTCCCTGCCCTCTGCTTGACACGGGGGACCCTACCTTCTCCAGAGGTCGGAAGATGATGGGGAGTGTAAAGCTTATGCCTGGGCTCAGGAAGATGGGCTGCGGGATGACCGTGAAGAAGAACCTGGTCTTAGGGGGCCTGTGGTAGGATCAAGGAGACAGACGCATCGGCAGGAGGGAGGGGAGGCTGGAAAACTAGAGGGGGGCAGAAAGGTTAAGGAAGTGCTAGGGGAGATCCCCCTCTTGTCCTATTCCTGCTTATTTGTTTGTTTCAGAGGGAGTCGCACCCAGTGATACTCAGGGGTTACTCCTGGCTCTGTGCTCAGGAACCACTCCTGGAGGATTTGGGGAACCATATAAGGTGCTGGGGATTGAACCCTGGTTGGCTGCATGCACGGCAAGAATCTTACCCACTGCACCACTGCTCTGGTTCCTGGTTGATCGTTTGTTTTGGCAGTCATATCTGGTGGTGCTCAAGGCTTGTTCCTGGTTCTGTGCTCAAAGATCATTCCCGGAAGTACTCAGAGACACCACATGGGGGTGCTGGGAATCTAGCCTGGGTCAGTCATGCATAAGGTAGTCCCTTCCCTGCTCTACTGTCTCTCCAGCTCCTCAATAATAGCATCAAACAATGCACGGTGGGGGCTGGAGTGATGGTATAGGGGTTAAAGTACTTGCTTTGCACATAGCTAACCTGGGCTCAATCCCCAGCACCACATAGGGTTCCCCAAGTACCACCATGAATGATCCTTGAGCTTAGAGCTCGAAGTAAGCCTTGAGCACCACCAGATATAGTCCCCAGCCACTGCACTGCACCGTAGCACTGTCCTCCCGTTGTTCATCAATTTGCTCGCGCGGGCACCAGTAATGTCTCCATTGTGAGACTTGGTGTTACTGGTTTTGGCATATCGAATATGCCACGGGGAGCTTGCCAGTTTCTGCCATGCGGGTGAGATACTCTCAGTAGCTTGCTGGGTTCTCCGAGAGGGGCGGAAGAATCAAACCTGAGTTGGCCGCGTGCAAGGCAAACACCCTACCCGCTGTGCTATTGCTCCGGGCTAGTAATATTATAAGAAGTAAATTCACTATGTTTAAATGGATTACTAGCTGAGGAAAGGAGAAAGCAAGACACACTAGATGGAATCCTAGTAATCTAGAGTGCTGAACCCTCAGAAGAGATGCTGTCCTTGAGTTAATCTTCTAGAACTTCCCCTGAAGGAGGGACTTTACATCTGTTTCTTGTTATACAGTGTTCAGCCCCACATGAAGGAGTACCCCACCGTTCATGATTTCTATATAACTAAAGAAATAAAAATAATAAAAATTAAAATGCAGGGAATAGAGGCCAGAGAAATAGTACAGAAGTTAATGTGTGTGCCTTGTCCACCCTAATTCAATCCCCAGCATGGCTCTGAGCATCCCGCAGGAGTAATCACTGAGCACAGAACCAGGAGGAAAGCCTGAGCACTGCCAAGTGTGGCTCCCAGGTCCTAAACTCCCCCCACCATCCAAAACCATACACAGTGGCAAACCCATCTGAGAAAAGAAGAACTCATGTGCAAAAAGGGCAGGAGCTTGTCACCCTCCTGGATGTTCGATAGCAAGGAATCGGAGCAGGAGTCTGAGTTGGCCTTCAGGCCCCGTTCTGAGCCCGTTATTTGATCTGATCGCCCGACTTTCACATCCTCTCCTCATTTTATAAGGCACTTTGAAATTGTTTCAAAACCCTGCTTAGAGGCCCCAAGCTCCAGCTCTGGCCTCATCGGGCCTAAGCAGCACCAGCTAGCCTGGCCTGAACACAGAGTCCCTGGGTTTGATTCCTCAAACCCTCTCCCAACCCACTTCTGTTTTTTTTGGCTAGGAAGACATTCTTTAGAGCCAGAACTGCAGCTAAAGAGTGGTGGCTTTGGGGGCTGGAGCTATAGCACATCGGGTAGGGTGTTTGCCTTGCATGCAGCCGACCAGGGTTCGATTCCCAGCATCCCATATGGTCCCCTGAGCATTGCCAGGAATGGTTCCTGAGTGCAGAGCCAGGAGTGACCCCTGAGAATTTCTGGGTATGACCCAAAAAGAAAAAACAAAAACAAAAAGAGTTGCGGCTTTGGGGGATGGTGATTGTGGCCTCCAAGCCTGGGCTTCCCATTGTCCCGCAGGGTCCAGACCTGTACTTCATCCTCTGCGTCTTCAGAGACAGGTTTTTGAGCACCAGGTTCTTGGTGATCTCCTTCCCGAGCTCCCAGCCCTTCCACCGCAGTTCCACGGGCACCTCCATGCCCCAGACAACCCTCTTCTTCATTCTCTCTGGCTTCTTGGGAAAGCACATCTCAGCATCCATGGTGCTAGTGAGCTGTTTGGGGGATAAAGGGGACAGAGGGGAAGAAAGGAAGAGTGAGGGGGTAGGGTTCAAGGACCCGGAGACCAAGTAAAGAGCTCCCCATCTCCAGAAAATATCAAATCACACCTCCTAAGCCCTGGTGGGGGGTGGTCTGGAAAGACAGGGTGAGGAGCAGGTGGCCCAGGGGTTAGAGTTCACCTCTGTCTGCCCTCCAATATTACCTCCCTGCCACCTACTCATTCTCTCAGAGGGCACAGATGCAACTGCCACCTCCTTTCTCTCTTGCCCCCACCCACCCTCTAGATCCCAGAGTACTTGTTGATGGTGGGATGGGGGAGGAAGCTGATTTGCCTACACTGCCCCCCCACCCCGCCCCATGCTCTGACATCAGCACATCTCAGTCCTGCTCCTGATGGTGCCAGAGATGGGATGTGCCAACGCTTTGACTTCCGGTGGGATATCTTTCCCACCTTCCCCCTCTTTGGGTCACACCCAGTGATGTACAGAGGTTACTCCTGGCCCATACGCTCAGGAATTACTCCTGGAGGTGCTCAGGGAATCCTATGGGATGCTGGGAATCAAACCCAGGCCTGCTATGTGCAAGGCAATGCCTTACCTGCTGTACTATCACTCCCGCCCCTGGTGGGAGGGCATTTGCCTTGCATGCAGCCGGCCCAGCCGAGCTGGGTTTGATTCCTCTACCCCTCTCGGAGAGCCCGGCAAGCTACGGAGAGTATCTTGCCCGCACAGCAAAGCCTGGCAAGCTCCCCGTGACGTATTCGATATGCCAAACACAGTAACAGAAGTCTCACAATGGAGACGTTACTGGGCCCGCTCGAACAAATTGATAAACAACAGGAGGACAGTGCTACAGTGCTACAATCCCTTACTCCAATTAATCAGTACGGGGAGGGGGAGATAGAGGAAGCAGTCACCTCTAGCAAGAATTATCTCTTGAGTACTGCTTTTCTTTGGTAGTTGGGCCGCACCTGGTGGTACTCAAAGGTTACTCCAGGCTTTGTGCTCAGAGATCACTCCTGGTGGGGCTCAAGGGGCCGTACGCAGTGCTGAGGATTTGAACCAGGGTTAATTGTGTGCAAGGCCAAAAATGCCTTACTCTTGTACTATCTCTCTGGCCCCAGCCCTACTATTTTGGGCCAAGTCTTGTTTTCATATTGTTACATCACGTGAGGCTAGAGGCATCTGTCCAGCAAATATTTGTGGACTTCCTGTTAGGTGCCTAGGTGCCAGACCCTAAGCCAGGAGCCAGGATGATAATAGGGGTCAAGTTGGACAAATCCCTTCTCTCCTGGGGCCATGCTCTCAAGTTTCAATATTGACAGCATCAGCTGCCAGCCGCGTCTTTCCTCTCGTAATCCGTTCCTGGAGGGACTGTGGCGTATGTGAGCAGGAGTGACAGTGCCAGTGGGTGCCCACTCAGGGTGCCCCCAGAAAACAGGAGCCACGCGGGGTTTCTGGAACAAAGAACTGTACTCCCAGTCAGGGAGGGGCTCGTGAGGGGCGCCCCATGGAAGGCTCTTGGGGTCCAGAGGCCTGTCTGGACAGATACGTGAGAAGCAGAGAGGAGATTAGGAGAGAGTACAGTGGTTAGCGCCCGGGCCTGGCAGGTGTCCCATCTGGGTTTGGTTCCCGGTTCTACACAGTTCCTGAGCATTGCTGGGCACAGACCTCAAGGCTCAGAGCATCACCAAGTATGACCTGGGAGGCCCCCAGGACTGCCAGGGTGGCCCAGGTCACCTCCTCAGGCCCCTGTACTGAACTGATGGCCTGGGTGGCTGAGAGGAAACACCAGTGATGATTGGGTGGGAGGCAACTGAACTGGTTTTAACTGGTTACTTTAAACCTTACCCACCAGGAAGGTCGCCAGTCAAACAGATAATAGGATGGTATAGAGTGGGGGGGGCGGGGTAGGGAGGAGGTAGTGGCGGATAAAATGAAGCCCCTGAACACTGACAGTGGGCCTCTCTGTCTCCTCTTTCTTCTCTCTGTCTCTCTCCTCTCTCTCTTTCCTCTCTCTCCTCTCTTTCTTCTCTGTCTCTGTCTCCTCTCTCTCCTGTCTCTCTCCTGTCTCTCTTTCTCTCCTCTCTGTCTCTCTTTCTCCTCTCTATTTCTGTCTCTCTTTCCTCTCTCTGTCACTCTCCTCTCTCCCCTCTCTTTCCTCTCCCTGTCTCTCTTTCCTCTCTCTTCTCTCTCTTCTCTCTCTCTCTCTCTCTCTCTCTTTCTTTTATTTTTTTGCTTTTGGGGTCACACCCAGTGATGCTCAGAGGTTACTCCTGGCTCTGCACTCAGGAATTATTCCTGGCGGTACTTGGGGGACCATATGGGGTGTCGAGGATTGAACTGGGTTGACCACATGCAAGGCAAATGCCCTACCTGCTCTGCCCCCCTCTCTCTTTCTCTCTCTCTCCCCTCTCTCTTTCTCTCTCTCCTCTCTGTCTCTAGTTCTCTCTCCTCTCTCTTGTCTCTCTTTTTCTCTATCTCTGTCTGTCTGTTTCTCTCTCTCTCTTTCTTAGCCCCCTCCCTATGCCTAAGCAGACAGCAGGACAGCTGGGCTGTCACCTGCACGCACGTGGCCATGATGAAGACTCAGGAGACCTGAGGGGACAGGCAGCTGAACCACAGGTCACAGAGCAGCAGACCCAGCCAGGGGACGCAGGTGGCAGGGTTCCAGCTGCAGACCTCAGACTAGAAACATGTACACTGGACAGGGAACGACGCAGGGACAGGACCAGGCCAGCCTGCACTGGATTTGAGCAGAGGCGAGGGACAGGACTTAAGAGTGTTGTGTACTGCACCAGGCACTGGGGCATAGGAGGAGTGACATCCTGCGAGGGTCGAAAGAGAAGCCTGGGCACTGGGGGAGGGACGGGAGACGCGGACCCATCTCCTTGAAGTGGACAGTAAACTCAAACTTCTCTTTGGTTTGGGTTTGGGGGCCAAGCCCAGGTGGTGTTCAGAGGGTCCTCCTGGCTCTGTGCTCGGGATCACTCCTAGCAGTGCTCGAGGGACCCTATGGGGTGCCTTGGATTGAACCCGGGTCAGCCGCATGCAAGGCAAGAGCCTTTCCCATTGTACTGTCACTGCCATGGCCTCAAACACAGACCTCTTAAGTTTTTGAATTTTGCAGGCAAATCTTTCCCGTAATTCTCAAGAACCCAGGAGCTCGAGAATAAATCCATTTTTTATTCTAATTGTGGAGCCCCCAGAATTCCTGAGCGGCATGTGGGAGGCCTATACCCCACTCCCACGCACACGCACTGCACACACACCCCAAAACAAAAAGAAAGGAAAGGAAGAGAAAGAAAAAGAGTGGAAGAGACGGGGAAAAAGGAAAGGGGGCTGGAGCGATAGTACAGCAGGTGGGTCCTTTGCCATGCACGCGGCCGACCTGGGTTTGATCCTCAGCATCCCATAAAGTACCCCCCCACCACCCCTACACCCCTATCCCTCTGTGGACCTCCAGGAGTAATTCCTGAAAGCAAAGCCAGGAGTAACCCCTGCCTGAGCACTGCCGGGTATGACCCAAAACGAGTAAGAAAAAAAAAAATAAAGGAAGAGAAAGATCCTGGCTGTTCCCAGTAGCTTTGAGGAGGGCAGGACAAAGAGAGACTCAGTGTCAGAAAGGCCCGGAAGGACCCAGCTGGAGGAGTGGGAGGACTTCCGGTCCCCAGAGAGGCACGATGGCATCTGTGAGGACCAGAGCACCAGAAAGCTGCAGGCCCCGACTCTGAGCCCCTCCTCCCTGCAGCTCCTCCCTCTGCCCCCCACCCTCACTGGAACAGCTCCCGGACCCTAGCCAGCCTCGTGCTCAGTAGGCATAAATTCTAGCTGGGGCTCAGACAGGAGAGAGGCAAATCCTCCCAGACTCCTGGTCCTCCTCCCCTCCCCCCATGCTCCCGTTTCCCCACACGGGCCCTGGGGGCCAGGTTCCGCCCACTTTGGGAGAAACTGGCGTGGCCTTTGCTGTGGCCGCACTATTTGTCAGGCAAGGTGGGCAGACCCCAGGGCTCATGGCGCTGTGCCGGGTGCCCCCCTTTCCCACCCCCTCACCCCCACCTCCAAAGGGAGTGTGGGGCTGCCCAGATGAGCCCAGGCCCCAGGGGAGCACTCTGGTCATGGGCTTTGGCTCATCGGGAGCTGGGAAAGCTCAGAGACAGGAGGCGAGAGAGGAGTGTGGAGAAGATTCCCCACAGCCACCAGAGTCACATGGGAGTAAGTCCCGGGCAGCTGGTGCTGGCAGCAGGCACCAGGAGCAGCCAGCGAGCCTGGACACGAGACCCAGGGCTCTGCTGGGAGCACCGTCATTCAGGAGAGCGCCTGGAAGAGACCCCTGGAGACCCCCGCCGCCCGCCTCCATGGCTGCATGGAGCCGTTTTCACAGATCCTCACTCAGTATACTTGGAACATGAGAGAGAGCTGATTCTGTTTTTTTGTTTGTTAGTTTGTTTTCTTTTTGGGCCACAGCCAGAGATGTTCAGGGGTTACTCCTGGCTCTGCACTCAGGAATTACTCCTGGAAATGCTCAGGGGACCATATGGGATGCTGGGAATTGAACCTGGGTCAGTCGCATGCAAGGCAAATGCTCTCCCCATTGTACTATCGCTCCAGACCCCTGTTTTGTTTTTGTTTATTTTTTGGCGTTTTGGGTCACACCCGGCGATGCTCAGGGGTTACTCCTGGCTCTGCACTCAGAAATTACTCCTGGTGGTGCTTGGGGAACCATATGGGTTGCTGGGAATCGAACCCCAATCGGCCACGTGCAAGGCAGATGCCCTACCCGCTATGCTATGGCTCCAGCCCCTAGTTCTGACCTTTATCCTCTGCTCTTTCCTCTGCATTTCTCTTACCTCCAGTGAGAAAGGACCAAGGGGGAAAGAAGGGGCCAATCAAACTGGAGAACTCCGGGTTTGTCTAGCAATTCCAGATTTCAAGGAAGCAGCATTTACTTCGGCCAGAGAGAGGAGGTCAACCCAGGTTTGATCCCTGGTACCAAATACGGTTCCCAGAGCACCACCCCGAGTCATTCCTAACTTCAGAGCCAGGAGTAGCCCCTGAGCACTACCAAGTGTGGCCAAGATCTACCTCTCCAAAGACAGTTTAAAAACAAAAGAAGCATTTGCTGACATAATGGAGTCATTCAAGGATTCAAGACTCAACCTCTGCTGGCGGTCCAGAAATAGATGGCAGGTGGAAATTTTATGCAAATGCATGCAAATATTATAGGCAAATGTATGCATAATGTCATGGGTATGCACCCATGCTCTTTTTTCCTAGGAAAATGACTTTCACCAAATGCTCTTGAGGACATTATGAGGCTCCTAAGCTGACTCTGGATCCCTGGCCTCAGATTCCCTTCTTCCTTCATCAGGTTTCACTTGGTACACACACCCATATGTGGTGATCTGATTGAAGATCGCCATGTTTTTGCACGGGTGCATATCTCCGATTATGTAAGCGTGGTGCCGGGTTCAGACCCACTGGACAGTCCTACTTACTGCACCTCCCACTGCGCACCTTTTGTCCCTGGCGGAGGACCAGTAAGGAAGAAGGGCATTGTTCAGACTCAGGGTTCCTACAGGGACACAGCACTAACATTCACCCTCCAGGACAGCAGACACAATGAGGGAGGGGTCCCTTTGATGCCCACCATGCTTAATGAGGGAGGATAATAGCACAGAAGTCTCTGCCAGTAGCACCTAGCACCATACTTCTCAGAATGACTGCAGAGACACCATGAGCTCAAAGAAACAGTGGTACATGTAGTCAGCGAAGCACAGGAAAGTATGAGAACAGGCATGAGAAGACTATAATCAGAAGTGAAAGGCACCCATCTTTTGCGAACAACAGCACCCAAAAGGAGAGAGAGAACAAAAGGGAAAGCCCTGCCACAGAGGCTGAGTGGGATGGGGGGAATGGGGGGTGGGAGGGGTACTGGGATCAGTGGTGGTGGAGAATGGGTACCGATAGAGGGATGGGTACTCAATAATTGTATAACTGAAACCCAAGCACAAAAATTTGTAAGTCCACAACTGAACCTCATGGTGTTTCACTAATAAAAATTTAAAAAAAGGAAGTGAAAGGCACCCCCAGACTAGGGGGCAGGAGGGAAGGTGGGGACATTGGTGGAGGGCAGTGGGCACTGCTGAAGCCATTGGTGTTGGAACAATATACGCTGAAACTTAATCCTGAATGTCTTTGTAATGTGGCAATTCATGGTGATTCAATTTTAAAGAAAGAAAACATATTTTAAAGTATAAAAAAAGTGACAGGACAAAGAATAAAAACTCAATAGAAGGCCTCACCAAAAGAATAGCAGCAACTGAAAAAAAAAAGTTGATGAGCTCCAAGATAAGATGCAGGATATCTCTGGAAAACAACAAAACATGGCGGGTATGTGGTGTGTGTGTGTGTGTGTGTGTGTGTGTGTGTGTGTGTGTATATATAAAGTTTGATAAGAAATTAGCAGAACATCAAGAACTATGGGCTGAGTTCAAGAAAAACATATGAATCATCAGAGGGGCAGGAGATTTTTGGTTTTTTTGGACACACCTGGCAGTGCTGAGGGTGGTGGGGCTCTAACTTAGCTTGGCTGAGCGTAAGATAAGGAGGCCCCTCTCCACTGTACGGTCGCTGTGGCCCCTTTGAAGAATCTTTTCACTGTGGCCCCTTTGAAGAATCTTTTCACTGTGGCCCCTTTGAAGAATCTTTTCACTGTGGCCCCTTTGAAGAATCTTTAAAAGGCAAGGAAAACTTCCCAACACTCCACCACTAAGTATGGCATTCTGACACATCAATTGTAGTGGCTCTCCCCTAGATTCAGAAAAGTTTGTTTATTCTTAGCTAGGTAGCACTGTAGCACTGTCCTCCCATTGTTCATCGATTTGCTCGAGCGGGCGCCAGTAAAGTCTCCATTGTGAGACTTGTTGTTACTGTTTTTGGCATATCGAATACGCCACAGGGAGCTTGCCATGCTCTGCCATGAGGGCGGGATACTCTCGGTAGCTTGCCGGGCTCTCTGAGAGGGGCGGAGGAATCGAACCCGGGTCTGCAGAGTGCAAGGCAAACGCCCTACCCACTGTGCTATTGCTCCAGCTCTCTTAGCTAGCTAGGTACAAGTTTTATACCCTTTAAATAGCGAATTCATCTTTCAATTATATTAGAAGCTCTTTCTTTGTCTATACAGGTGATGATTGTTACAGCTATAAGGGTTTTTCTTAAGAGGATACTCTAGCAGTATTTACAATATATTATTTTTTTCTTTTTAGGTCACACCCGGTGATGCACAGGAGTCACTCCTGGCTTTGCACTCAGGAATTACCCCTTGTGGTACTCAGGGGACCATATGGGAGGCTGGGAATCGAACCCGGGTCGGCCCTGTGCAAAGCAAATGCCCTACCCGCTGTGCTATCACTCCGCCCCCAATATATTCAACATAAAATTAACATTCATTTATAAAGCTAAAGCATACTATTTTTTGGTTTGTTTGGGGGCCACACCTGGCAACGATCAGGGATTATTACTGGCTCTGCACTCAGGAATCACTCTTAGTGATGTTTGGAGAACCCTATGGGATGCAG